GTTTTATAGGCGGTGGTGAAGTCGGTTTGGGGGGGAGGGGGGGGGGAACCGACCTAGACGGTCAAGGAGCGGGAGATGGCGGTCGAGCGTGGTCGCGGGCGCGGCAGAGGAGGCGATGGTGGATGGAAGGGAAAAAGCAAAAAGGGGAAGGGGGAAAGGAGCTTTGCTCCTTGCCGTTTTTGGGCGAGCTGAGGGAGGAGAGAGCGCGTGGGAGAGAGAGGCGCTGCCTCCGCATCTTGGACGCACGCGAGCTGTGGCGCAGAGGTGGGTGCGGCGGCAGAGTGGGCGCGGGCGGCTGCGCGGCGCAGGCGGGCCAGGGCGAACGGCGACCGAGGGCGGTCGGCCACCACGCGGGAGCGCGCGCGCGGAGCAAGGGCGCGGCGGAATTCAAAGGCGGAGGCAGGAATCGGTGCCGGTGAGTGAAACGGGGAGAGGAAGAGCGAGAGAGAGAGAGCTCGGCTCGGGGATGGCTCACGCGCACGCGCGTGCGGCGAACGTGCGGAGCGAGGGAGGGGAAGGCTGAGAGAGAGAACGGGCCGGGCCGAGAGAGAGAGATGGGCCGAGGGAAGAAAACCGGTCCACAAAAAGGAAGAGGGAGGAGATAGGCAGAGTGGAGGGGATCCGGCCCATCCAAAATTAGAAGGAGGCAAAATAGACTTCTACAGAGAAATTGAATTGGAGAGAATTGGAGTTTAGGTTTGAATTCAAATTTGATATTTGGACTTAGGAACATAGGGTGGAGTCAAGGAACTGGTTCAAGGAAGACTCGGATATTTTGGAATCGAGACAAGTATTTGGCGAGGATTCAAAGGAGGCGATTGAATTTCGGAGACTTGAATTGGAATTGGAATCTTGAGGTGGACGATTTTGATAGCGACGAGAGGGAACAACGATGGAGATTGAATTGAGATCCACGGCACGACTTAGACTCTCACTCAAAGAACGAAATTTTCGCATATAGGATTTTCTAGAATTAGTTTTTTTTAACGTCTCACGAAAAGCGGAGCGTTACATATTTGGTTGAGACACTTTCATTCACGGGATAAAACATTTTTCCCCGTCTGATGAAACATTTTAAACTTTTTTTTATTGAATAGTGAAACATTTTATAATAATACATTGCAACATTATCCGATATGATGTTTTGTAAAACATCGGACGTATGATTGTGGCACTCTCTAGAAATTGGATGACGATTTAATCAGTGCGAAGTCGTTTTTATCCAAGACTTTTTCATGGTTGCTGTTTGATCGGAATCGGGCGGACGCAGGACACAATACCTCACCGTGCGACACACTGATCAGTGGACGACGGACCAAAACCCCTGACAGAAAACACTATTGCGAAGAAACAAATAAGAGCACAAGCCTACTGTCCCGCACCTAAGAAACACACACACACACACTCATGTGGATTACAGGAGTTATTTTTCATGCATGTACTCAGTACTCCCACTAATCCCAGCAAATCAATCTCTGAGCTCACATACACAACATCATTCATCAAGCCCATCAATTAACCATTCCTGGTGTAGAGTAAGATCCCGTGCGACACGACGACGCCGAGCGCGAACGCCGCCGCGGCGGCGGCGGCGGCGGCGACCACGCTCCCGCTGTCCCACCTGGCCGCCCGCTCCTTCTTCTTCTCCGTCTCCGTCTCCGTCTCCGCCACCTCCATCGTCGTCGCCATCACCACCCCCGTCGCCGCCGCGGCCGCCGCGGGGCGCTTCTTGGGCACGGTGAGGAACAGCGTGGTGCCGACGAAGCGGGCGGCGACGCGGTCCGAGTCGGCCGTCGGGGGAAGCTGGATCACGCGGCGGAGGCGGACGTGCGGCCCCGCCGCCGCGGGCCGCTGCCCGAGCACCGTCACGCGGCCGGTGGCGCCGTTCACCCGCACGTCGACCTCATCCTTGCTGAACCCGGCGATGTCGAGGCGGACGACGTAGCCGGCGGCGGCGCCGTCGAGCCACACCTGCTCTCGCAGGTCGCCGCCGATCTGGATCCCTTGGGCACGCACGCCAACATGATCGAGCTATGGTTGGATGGGTTGAGAACTTGGATGGTGAGATCGAAGGAACCATATATATTACTATGTGTCAATGTGTGTTTTGTTAGGAAACGATAAGCGAACAAACGACAAAAAACAATAGATCAATCACAGAAGACACGAGATTTAACGTGGAAAACCCTCCCAAAACAGGAGAGAAAAAACCACGGGCTCCAGCCAGCAAAATATCTTCGCTATATCTGGGGTGAGGTTACAACGCTACACGGCGGCTTACAAGAAGTATATATATGGTGGAACCCTAAAGGGGATGACGATCCGTTTCGTGGGGGCTCCGCCCCGCACCCCCGAGCGTCCCCAGGTGCACGGCCCTTCGCTCTACTACGGTAGAAGCTGTCCTTTATTAAGTGTAAATGAATTTGAATCACAACTCAACATGTTTGTGTGTTGAATTTGTTTATTCGAAGTGTTTTCTTTTAAGGTGACACAACTCTCGATCGATGGTAAGAAGAAAAATAGGTGTTTAATTGACGTCGAGGTTTGGGTTAGGGTAGGGATCTTGGTTTCGTCTCGTCTTCCAAGCCTACAAGCTGCGTAGAGTAGTAATTACCCGCGACTATACGAGGTTAGCAGAGGTACGTTGCCACCTATGAGAAATGTGCAAGTCCTCTCATCCGAAGAAAACTAAGTGAGTGAGAGTGTGAGACCAACAAAATATTCTAAGACTCGATGTGTGGTCATGTCGTTTGGGCCATTTACTCCCTCTGTTTTATATTATAAGTCGTTTTGATACGTTGTGCAAGTCCTCTCATCCGAAGAAAAAAACCAAGCGAGTTTAACCAACTAAATATTCTAAGACTCGGTGTGTGGTCATGTCGTTTGGACCATCAATATTTTGTACTCCCTTTGTTTCCCTTTGCTTCGTATTATAATTCGTTTTGACTTTTTCCCTAATCAAACTTTATTGAGTTTGACCAAGTTTGTATAAAAAAAATATAAACATTAATTAAAACAACAGATTAGTTTTATTAAATCTACATTTAGTATATTTTGATAATAAGTTTATTTTGTGTTAAAAAATCTATTATGTTTTTTTATAAACTTGGTCAAACTTATTTAAGTTTGACTAGGAAAAAATCAAAATGACTTTCAATATTTCGTACTTTTTTTTTTACAAGAAGGGCTAAGCCGTAGAGATGTGGTAAAAGAGTTATGGGTTTATGACCATTGACCCCAGTAGTACACTCACTGAAATTTACATCCTAGTGCCCACAATAATACACAAGTGGGTACGTTTTAAATAGAATTTCACTGAATTTACTAAAGAACTTTCATCACTTGATTCGAATTTATGTGTGGTGAACTCACTCCTTTCTAATGTTCCACTGTAGATTTGACAGAATGGAATGTAGAAATTGTACATATATTGGGTTCTTTTAAATTTTCATTGCCTATAATAAAATTGGTTGATATGGCAAGGGTTTGTTTGAATTTACATTTGTTGGGTTTCATTTTTCATCATCTATAAGGGAAAGAGTTTCATATACCTCCCTTCAGTGGCAAACACAGGACTAAATTTTAGGAGGTGCCGATGAAATAAAGCATACTAATATAACTAGATTAAATATGAGGACTTTTACGGTACATTCTACTTAAAGTATATACTATCAGTATATTTGATCTAACGGTGTAAATTCATCTGATCTTCCTTCCAATTATTTTACGGTATAAATTGAATAGAATATATTTGTCTTTTTATCTATTTGCGTGAGGGTTAATTTTGTAAATTCGCGTTTCTCACTTAGTCAGATCCGGCCTTTTGCGCCCAGTCAAAGCGAATTTTTCTTGAAGCGGCGCGCATGGGCGACCGCCGTCGCTGGCTGCCTCTGCGAGCACGCCGCGCCGCGCGGCCGTCGACAACCACAATCGGCGCCGCCGCCATCGGGAATCGATTCGATTTCCCTCCCCCTTTCTTCACCCAAAACCTACTAGTTCTTCCAAAAATCCCCAAATCGTCAGGTCTGCGGGAGGCAGCGCCGACGGGCTGCGGAGGTTTGCGGGAGGCGGAAGGCGACGAGCAGTTTGTCCTCAACGGGTTCACCGCCGCGAATCTCAGCTTCGATGACATGGCGACGGTGACCCCGAACGGGCTGCTCATGTTGACCAACGGCACGAACCAGCTCAAGGGCCACGCCTTCTTCCCGGTGCCGCTTCAGTTCCACAGGGCGCCCAACAGCACGGCGATGCAGTCCTTCTCCACGGCCTTCGTCATCGGCATCATCGGCGCGTTCGAGGACCAGGGCAGCGGCAACCTGGCGGCGGCAGGTGGCAGCAGCAGGGCGGCATAATTAGCATAACTAATGTAATTAGCATGGTTACATACCAATATAACTAATGTATGAACAATTCTGTGACTACTATCCATTCAACTCCCACGTTTCAATCTTCCAGAGAAGGCCTTGAAAGAAGAATGTTCAGACTCCAAAACCATTAACATCGTTTCCAACTTTAGACGATATATTAGAGAATCCAATTTAATAGCACAATTTTTTGGAGCAATGCAGTATAGAGTTGGGCTGAAATAAACAGCTGTTACAAGCTCAAATTACAAAGCAAAAAAAAAAACAACCGAAGGAATTAATATTCATCCAATGGAAATAAATCTCTATTTTAAATGACTAGACAACCCTTTTCAGATTTTTAACAAATACCAAATCTACCCTATCATATACTGGTAGTATATATTTACAGTACAATGTATCGTAAAAGTTCTCTTAAATATAAGATAAATCTAAAAATCATACATAAATATATTGTAAGTTCCTATTAAAAACCTTGAAAAACTATCTATCTTTTGATCATCTAGTTTTTTTCCTCTATCTAGCAACAAGTAGTAACATGTGTGAACTATTGGATCTACATCTGCTTTGGCCAGCTGATGGGGGCTTGAGCCCACATTGCCTCCCTGCTAGGATCTTCCCTTTGAAACCGAAATCTAATCCTCTAAAATTTGTAATACCATTTATATTATCCCCTAAAGTGTTTCGGACATTTGTATCGATGCTTGTTTGTAAGCTCAATAGTACAAAAGAAAGATAAGTGGAAATTTTAACTCATGCATATTATGTAGTACAAGTATACATGCATTTCGATCGATACACACGTGAGAATGATACTGGGTGAATTGATTAATTAATTAGTTGTTCCGGGAGAATAGTTTGGTGGAGACGAAGACGCCGAGTGCGAACGCGGCGACGGCCGTGGCGACCACCTCCTTGTTCTTCCCGATGGCCTCCGCCAGCTTCATCCCTTCCTCCGCCGCGCGCTCCTTCCACCACGCGGCCGTCTTCTCCGGCTCCGGCGCCGGCGCCGGCGCGGGCCTCGAGGCGGCCTGCTGCGCCGCCAGCCTCGCCCTCGCCGCCTCGATCCTCCTGTCCGCCTCCCGGGACAGCCTCGCCTTGTGTTCGGCCCTGGCCTTCTCCTCCTCATCATGACGCTCTCGCGCCGCCGGCTGCGGCGGCGCCGCCGCGGGGGCTGTAGCCTTGGGCGGCTCCTCTTTCTTCTCTCTAGCCGACAGCTGGGTCCTCCGCTCGGACTGATCACTGTCAGTCTTCGGCGGCGGCGGCGGCGGCTTGCCGGCGACGTCGTGTTCGTCAGCCTTCTTGGTCTCCTTCTCCTCCTCCTGATTGGCCTTGGGCGGCAGGGCGGCGGCGGCGGCGGTTGTCGCCGGCTTCTTGGGCACGGTGAGGACGAGCACGCTGGCCTCCAGCCTGCCGGTGATCGCGTCGAGGTTGCACGTCGGCGGCAGCTGGAACACCTTGTTCAGCCGGAGGCCGCCGTGCTGGCCGCGGACGGTCAGCCGGCCGGCGGGGTCCACGTGCACCTGTAACTCCTCCTTCTTGAACTCTTCAAAAACAAAAAAATAATCAACCGAGAAATCAAGAAATTAACAGTAAAAACCAACCAAGCCAACGTATAGATCACCATTTCACCTCACCATTACACATGCATGTTGGAAGAACTAATTAAAACAGTTAGTAATTACCTGGGACGTTGACGCGGAGGAGATAGTGGGCGCCGGCGTCGAGCCACTCGTAGACCGGCTCGAAGTCGCCGTCGCGCTGCTGCTGCTGCTGCTCCGCCATGGCGCCTAGCTTAGCAAGTGCTAGCTAGCTACCTTTCCTTGCAATTCCAATCGAAATCTCCTACCCGGTGAGATGCAGCTAGCTCTGGGTAATTAATCTGAGACAGATCTTGAGATGAGATGAACAAGCGATGCTCGATGCTGCTCAGCTGCTGCCGGTGATCGATCGATCGAGGCAGGGCACGCATAAATATTTGCGATCACGACGCACCCTGGCTTGTGGTGCGAGGTCAGGTTTAAGATTATTCCAAGCTTTTTCTTGAGGATCACATATAAATTTCGGTCAGGTTTAAGATGATTCCAAGCTTTTCTTGAGGATCACAGATAAATTTATCATCAAGAATTGGGGAAAGGATAGATTTCGCGCGGCGACGTGTCCGGGGCGCCGGTGCCTTTCGGCTCGCGGCACGGTACCGAGGTTACGTCTTCTTCGTCGTCGTCGTCTCTCCAAAGCTAGCTATAGTTAATTTTCTTTCGCGAGAAGCTTTAGCTAGCTAATTAATTAGCTATCTTCCAGTTTTGGATCGATCGAATGTACTGTAGCGATCAGGTAGTTTATATGCCACATGTTCATGGCTAGCTACTTCGCCGGTTGATGGATCGCGTGTGCCTTCGCGTGATCACTCTATACTTGATAGTGTAATGGCGATGGATATATGGTTTCAACTCTAATGTCTCGTGTTTAATTCTCTAACATGCTCACAACTTTTTGTAATTATTTGATAACCAAGTTCCTCTTTGATTGTCTTTTTTTATGACTGATCACTGTTTATTTCTGAAGTAAACTGAAACTTTCAGTCCATATGCCCGTGTTTTTTTTTCTTAATCAAACTGGATAGGCTGAAAAGCGGATATGTAGGCTTGATCCAAGCCCAGTTGCCCACTGAATACATAGTCCGGCTGTGTTTAGTTCACATTGAAGTTTGTAAGTTTGGTTGAAATTTGTACGATATGATAGAAAAATTGTGTGTGTATGAAAGGTTTGATGTAATGGAAAGTTGGAAGTTTGAAAAAGAACTTTGGAACTAAACAGGGCCTCCATCCTGTCCAGAGTCCAGCAGACTCATCCTTGGCCCAATCCAGGTCCAGCCTAGCTGCGATCACTTCGAGTAACCAAACTTGTGATGAAATGCTGAAAGTCACGTTTGGAACGTCGCCCACGTTAGCCTTGCCAAAATATTAACAAGACAAAGTTTTGGGACAAAATTCCTTATACGTCCCTCCACTTTGCGTTCTAAATCATGCTCTATATGTCTCTGATTTTTTTCATTTTTATATCCCATCTATGCTCGTCCCTTTAGTTGACCGATCGGCTTCTTCTAAAACAACTATGTTACCTTTCTCATACATACTTATGTGCTACCTACTTAAAAAAACATGGATCTCAGTGTTAAAAAATATAGTAAAATCAAACGGGACAAAAAAATATATATATTTGTCACAATTTTAAAAAAAAATTAAAAAATTTCATGAAATTCATACAAAATTTTCACCAAAATTTGAAACCCCAAGTTTTATTTGGATTTGATTTTCAATAAGAATGTTATGGATTTCATCAAATTTGATTTAAATTTCATTTAAAAAAATGTAAGTTCTAGTTTTCAAATTTGTAGTCAAATAATTCTACCATCTTTTTTATATGAATACTTTTCACATTGAGAATTATATTTCTTAGAGTGCATAAGTACGAAAGAGGCAACATAGTCATTTTGGAAATATGTAATGGTAAGTCATCTAATGAAATGGGTGTATAAGGGATCAAAATCAAAACTCAATGGCGTATAAGGGATCGGGCAAAATTCAAGGACATAAAAGGGACGGATAGAAAACTGAGGCACATAAGAAATTTTCTTGGTTTGGTGTTGCCAAATTTGTGGTTAGAACTTAGAAGTTTTGCAATTAATCAAATAGATCTATTGGGAATATTTTTGTGTTGTTTGTTAGGGCAACAACCCAAATATGCCCAAAGTGTCCTATTGTTTTGCATTCTTTTTTCTCCAATTTGTTTATCAAGTGGTTTGCTACGAATTACAATGTTGTAAATGCGTATGATCCTTCATCTGCTGTTCTTCGCTCACAGTTTGTCATATTTGAACTTGGAAGGTTTGCATGTCTTCTTTTTTTATGGTCAAAAAAGAACAGATGAAAAACTATGCATGGCCGTCAATGGCTTGGGATTGGATGAGGACTAACAACAGGCAATAGTCCAGGGCTTCTTGGCTTCATGATTTCTCTAATAAGCTATTGCATATTGTGAGCCTTGTCTCTGTTCATGATGTCTCTAATGTTATCCATGGTTGAGACTTATTAACCATTAACAAATGTATGTAGCTGCCTGGCTGCTTGTGGCAGTAAAGTCATTTCTTCACCTTATTAACTGTCACTGCTTCCTCAGTTGCTATCAGTTATGAGTTATACTTCATCTGAATTACGTGGGAACTAATCAACTTGTAATTGGAATCTTGGCAAATTGTTCTCCTTGTCATTGACATTAATGTTTCATACTTTCATATAGGGGATTTTCCCGTGCAATTTTTACACGGACTAGTTAAATTGGATTTGCATTTGGAATACAACTCTTAGGTCCTATTTCCATAGATAAATTCTCTAAATTCTCATATGTGCAATTATATTTTGCATACAGTAAAATATTTAAAATAGGGTTGGATTTAATATACAACTCTTTCTTATATTTATATTATATATATATCATAAATATAATTTATTTTGTATACAACTATTTATATTAATCTACATCGTTATAATTTGATCCAACCACATTCTAATGGTTAGATTTTGTCTCTTCACTTAATGATAATTTCTAGGTCTCTATAACGAGAACATGGTGTGTCCTTTTCGAGCTATCTTTATAATATACTAATTGATAGATAGATTTATTTCTTTCAGATAAAAATCAGAGGCGACATGTCAGAAATTTGTCGTTCTAGTAGTACAAAGAACAAGTACATGGAGGACCTAGCAGCTTGCATGCACAGGGTCTTGGCATCTCGTCAGCCCGAAATGATCGTCCATGTCTGGTTGTGTGCATGGATGAATTTCTTAGAGCCGACCATAGGTCCATAGTCGCAATTGGCTCATGTTTTTATATCCCACTACATTCTGGTGTTTTGCAATCCTTAATGGCATCAAGGACACACTAGGTTTGTAAGTTAGTTCGTCAGGAAACAAAATAATTAGTGCCTCCTGATGACATAGTTAGTCTGTTTCTGGATAATCATGGAGAAGGATATAGTAGTATACAGATCAAGTTGTCTTTACTCCTTAGGGAAAAATATCTTGGCATCTATTTAAGCAGATGTGTGCTCAATTCTTCTGCACAGCCTTAAGCCATTCCAGTTCCAGTGTTAGTACTATTCCGATAGAGGTTAGCTCTGGATTCATTCATGTCACATAGCCTACTTTGCCTTTCTTCTTCTTCTTGTGCTTGTGTCACCATAATCTAGCTCACTTAGTCACTTGAGCATGCTACCATCATGTTATTTGCCCTGTACAATTGATCACATTTTTTTCTTCAGGGGATTGTGTTTTAAATCATCTTGTAGCTTGAAATTGAGAACTAAATGTTTTATAGTCTAGCAGGTAATGAGTTGTTCAGTCAGCGAATCAATGTCTACTACTCTATTTGGTTGGTGGATTGCCAAAAAAAAAGTGAGGTTAGAATGATATGCAGGTAAAATTAGCCAAAAAGTAAGTCTATGACATGTGGGCCACAAGAATAAAAAAGAGAGGGGAGACCGGTTTGTGATAGTGAACTAAACATTTTTCTGTAGAAATTTGCCAGGATTTAGGTTGGCACTGTTAGTCACGTGATGATGTGCCATCTCTGGCTAATAGTATCTTGATTTTTTTTCTGAAATGTTTGGTTCTAGTAATTCAAGCCTGTTATTAAACACTAACCGATGCAGTTCTAGGCAAAATTAAAACTGCACAACAGAACAAGTTGTTCTTCACGCAGAATGTCACAAACCTCATTTTTCAGTAGTTTTTTTTTAATTGGTGGTTCTAGAGGTTTTGAGGTTCGTATAGGAGTACCCCATCCTTTTAAATTTGATGAAAATTTTGATGAAATAAATGTAAATTTAATATTATGAAATTTCAAAGTATGAGGTAGGACCATCTAACGAAAATTTCTTCCGCCACTGGTTTTTTTTCAAAGTCTTTTATATCAGTCTCCCTGCCCTGAACCACGATTACAGAAGAGAAAAATAAGGAAAGGAAAGAGAAGGCATGGGCAACCTGTTGTGCTGCGTGGAGGTGGAGGAGTCGACGGTGGCGATGCGGGAGCGGTTTGGTAAGTTCGACGGCGTCATGGAGCCTGGCTGCCACTTCGTGCCCTGGTTTCTTGGCCTCCAGGCCCGCGGCCCCCTCTCCCTCCGCCTCCGTCAGCTCGAGATCCGCTGCCCGACCAAGACCAAGGTCACTTCACCTCAAATCACTAAAAAAATTACACTTTCCTACGCACCAGAGTTTAAATCCTGATGTCTACAAGACGACACATATAACTGTGTGTATTATTAGTTGAGTTAGAGACCGTAAGTTATTACTTTTATTGTGAAAAATGAAGTCACCTACTCATCTCGTGTTTTTTCCCTCTTTCTGCAGGACAATGTGTATGTAACTATTGTTACGTGTGTTCAGTACCGTGCTCTAGCCGACAAAGCGAGCCATGCGTTCTACACGCTCATCAACACCAGGTCACAGATCCAGGCTCACGTCTTCGATGGTAATTACTTTCTTAATTGTTACTATGGTGATTTTCGTTTATAGTAAAGATGAAAATAAAATAAAATTATGGTGGATAAAGACAAAGTTAAGACACGAAAAATAAAAAAATTAACATATGATTAATTAAGTTTTAATTATTACAAACTAAAAAATGAAGTTATCTAATATTTTAAAGCAACGTGTGTATATATAAAGTTTTCACATCAGTTATACCGTTTTACCGTTTAGCAGTGTTAAAATTGAGAAAAAAATCTATATCTTACTCGGAAAAGACAGTTAAGCATGTACTAAAAAGATAATAACTGTGAGGCATGCAGTGCTGAGGACGAGCATACCGAAGCTGGCGCTGGAGGAGGTGTTCGACAAGAAGAAGGAGATCGCGGAGGCGCTGGAGGAGGAGGTGGCGGAGGCCATGGCGCCGTACGGCTACGAGGTGATGCGCGCGCTCGTCGTGGACGTGGAGCCCGAGGAGGCCGTGAGGCGCGCCATGGGCGAGAGCCGCGCCGCGGCCGACAGGGCGGTGGCGGAGCGGGCGGCGCGCGCCGGGCGCGCCGAGGCCGACGCCGAGGCCGCGCGCCTCGCCGGCGTCGGCGCCGCGCGCCACCGCCAGGCCGTCGTCGACGGGCTCAGGGCCTGCGTCGTCGCGTTCTGCGCCGCCGTCCCGGGCGCCACGCCCAGGGAGGTCATGGACATGGTGCTCGTCGCGCAGTACTTGGACACCGTGAGGGAGATCGCCGCCGCGTCCGCGTCCGGGTGCTCGGCGGCGGCGGCGGTGCCGTTCCTCCCGCACGGCCCCGCCGCGGCGCGCGACGCCGTGGCGCAGATACGCGACGGGCTGCTCCAGGCCGTGCAGCCTCCTGCCGCCGCCGCCGCCGCAAGCGTCGCCGCCGTTGGCCTTCCATTGCCATTGCCAGTCGCCAGCGTTTGCGAAGGTATCACAGAAGAGCAGTAGTTGAGTTGAGTTGGGTTGCCTTACTGTGTCAGTGTGTAATAATGCCAATGGTTACTGCAAATCTAGCTACTATATATGCTGTGTCTTGGATGTGTTGTGTACAAGTGATCTGGATCAAGAAAAGTGTCATGCAGTGCTTCTCTTGTTCTTTTTGCAATTGAATTGCTTCTGCAAGGATGCCAGAACTTAATGATACACATTGAGCATGTGTGGAGCACACGAACTAAGCAGAAACATCCCTATTTCCCTTTGGAGAGACTAAGCAAAATCCATGTTCCAGGTTTTACTGAATCTTCCTTTCATTTCCATCAACTCCCCAAGCATGGGAACAAGATTTATATCATGCATAACAGTATATACCACATTAAGCTCTCCAAGATGTCAATTACGACACTACGTAAGCATACAACGAAAGGATTTACATACCAGAATTCAGATGGAAATCCAACCGTATGATGGAAAACCAGATCAACGAATTCAACAAAGATGTGGAACACAGAGATATCTCCATCATATTTGACAGTATTCAGCAATAGGTCTCAAATCACCCAAAATTATTAACAACAGGCGCCGAGGATAAAAATATATAGCCAATGCTAATGTTTGCCTAGGGTAATGGTGGGGAAAGAACTCAAGATCAAAATGAAGCCACAATGGTAGCTGTGGCCATGTTTTTTCCATGTTATTCCAATCCACAAGAACTGAAGAAAAATTCCTAGGATGCAAAACATACTCAATGCTTGAGCACCAAGGACAAGCCAACTTTCGTGCTCTTCTCAATTGCCTTGGTGTCAACCTCACCAGAGATGGTGATTAGCGATTTGGGACGCCATTCATGCTGGACGAGCGCGCTGGCCATGCCATAGTTGTTGAAGCGAGCCTTCACTGTCGTGTGAGGGTCCAATGAGTGCTGGGACCCAAAGATCAGTGTGCTCTCATTCCTTGAGAAGCTGTGGGACAGCTCAGCTCCTACGGCAGTGTTCGAATGGTGCTTTACCAGGTGGTAGTAGGATGCAATCAAGGTATCACCATGATTGTTCCTGGACAGGAATTGTAAGGTCAGTTACCAAACTAAATAAACTGATACAGGAGTAATGACCACAACAACCAGTAAACAAGAAATGTTATTCTGGAATTGGCTTCTCAGTCAGACTTGGAAGTAACATGCAGTGCTAATATATGATAACCATGCATAGAATCAATACTTACAGATGCAGAGAAGCAATAAGGTCTGAATTGGTTAGACTCAATGCAGCATTGTACTTGGTGAAATTGCTAGTCGCAGTGTCGAATGCAACATCAACACCAACTGAGAGCTCTTTGCTTCCAAAGACACCAGAAAGGTTAACCATAGGATTGGAATTCAGGCCAACACTTGCATTGATGCCAGCATATTCATGAAGGTACTGGAGTTCAAGCTGTTAAGGCAGCCAAAAAATAATATTAATTGCAATGCCTGTCATATTGGATGTTTTAAAAAAAAAGAAATGGAGGGCTGCCCAAAAATACCTTCCCTGACCTCTGGTCTGGAACTACCAAACTAAGAATTGATTTCAACCCTGGAGTTCCAAACTCATCAACCGTGACTGTTGTTAAAAGCTGAAAGATACAAAAAATCATCAACTCATGATTATGCAGGAAAAACTACAGTATTACCATGAACATTATGCGTGTGCAGGAAAAAGAGAACTGAATGCTTACATCGGACTCTGAGTTTGCTTTGACATCAACAGTCAATTTCTTGTTCTTAAGCTGGGTTTGGAGCTCACCAAAGACAGACTCATTTTTCCTTGTTCCTGCAGCTGTGATAGTCTGCAGTACAAACAAAAATCATTAACATAGAAAGCACAAATCAAATGCGCAGACATGCTGAACCGCAATTGTACTGAATTGCTGATAACATATCAATCTCCTCGGTAAACAATTCATAACCACAGACCATATGTGCTATTGTTGCATGGAAGGTGCCAATTGCACTTAATAATAGATTTCACAGTCGCAATGTGACGGCAATAAATCTATGATCTTATCCCCCAAGAGACATTTTACAGTGCTTGGAAGGTTTTGAAGGTACCTCCACTTTTAAAAGAAATATCAGGTGTTGTTCACTTAAAAGTGGAGGTGCCCCTATGTATTATAGACTAGTAGTGCGCAAGCATCTATAAAGTGGACATCTCATCCCATCAACATACATCATCTGATCTTAAATATGCACGTATGTAGATCCTAAACACGGTGTTTCATCCGACATTCTATTCTCTTCTATTCAACACAAATCGTAAAATGTTTCTTTTAATATGGGGATGACTAAAGATGATCTAGCTAAGAAAATCACCAGAAATGATCAGCCCCTCTAAGTGGTGATTGTCTACTCAGAAATTCACACCGACACGAGAATACAAATCGTGCCAGACAAGAAATGGTGGGTGACGGATCCGAGTGGGAGAGAGAGAGAGAGAGGGAGGGGAGGATACTCACGACGCCCTCGGGGGTGCAGGTGGTGAGGGTGAACTTGTGGTGCGTCCCGTAGTCCCTGTAAAGCAGATCTGCGGCGTCGGCAGCGGCGGGGGCCATCAACAACAAACGTCACGTCAGCGAGGTCGAGCACGAGAGGTGAACAACAACCATGGCGAGAAGAAACGAGAGTGAAGGGAGAGGTGAGGCCTGGGGGCGCAGGGGGCGCCGTACCTCTGGTCTTCTTGCCGATGTCGGTGTAGAGCCCTGGCGCCATGGATGCCGACGGCGTCGACGGCGAGAGGGAGGGGATCGATATCGCGGCGGCGGCGGCGAAGGCGGTTAAAACGGAGTCGCGCTTCGCTGGCTCTCTCTCGCTGCAGATCTCGTGGCGTCCTCCTCTTCGCCCTGGACCTGGACTCGCTTTTTCTTTTCTTTTCTCTCTAAAAATAAAGAAATGAGCTTTTTCTTTTTTTTCTTTCTTTTTTTTCTTTGGCTGGGCGTGGGCGCGGGTGAGGTGAGAGGGAGAGGGGATGATCCGTGTCGTCGCGTCGTGCTTCGTGCGGACTGCGGAGCAAACGGCGGGTCAGGCTGTCAGTGGGGCCCGCATCATTCGACGCCGCCGTGGTGGGCATCTGCGTCTTTATTCTAAGCACGTGCGTCGGGAAGGGTGGTTGCGGGCGACCGTGGGCTTGGTTGGGCCTGGCGAACCGTACAGCGATCTGATCCCTAGGCGGGCTGCAGGGATAAGTTCATTTTGACTCCCTTAAAAGTGACCCGAATCTAATCCGTAGCCCTGAACGACAAACCAGATATCTTGACTCTTAAACGTTAATATCAGTGTAATTTGATTCTCTCGGTGGTTTTGGAGAGCCGTTCCGCTGACGTGGCATCCATATGGCAGTGTTGACTTAGTATGCCGTTGACATGGCGCACAGGTGGCATTAAAATTGAAAACATACACGTGAGACCCGTTCGTCATTCACACAAAAGAAAAATATATGGGACCACTGACATGTGGGGCCCACATATCAATCTATCCCTTCTTCCTCCTCCCTCTCTCTCCCCCTTCGGCAAGCGGGGGCCGCCAGCGACGGCGGCAGGTGGGGGCCGGAGTGGCGGCAGCGACATGGGACCTACCCGTTTGCCCGCCTGACGCATGCGAAGCCGGCACCTTCGCCTCCGCCGACCAAATCCACCGACAAGCCCACCTGCTACGTACGTTGCCGCCTTATCATCTTCCTCCGGTTGGCTCATCCCCTCCTGTGAGCCACCGGCGACAGAGACAGCAGTGTGGTGTTGGCCTAGATGTGAGCCGCCGATGACGCCATTGTCGATTGGGGTGGGGTAGGATTGGGGATCTGTGGGGAGAAATGGAGGGGTGGTGAGAGAGAGAGAGGGAGGGCAGCGGCGGGACAGAGCTTGGCGAGGGAGCTCTATAGGCGTCGAGGCCGGCTGTGATGGGAACGGCGGTGACATCCTGACGCGGGCAGGCTGGCGCACCTACTGCTCGCCAAGGCGGCGTCGACCCCTCCGCCAACGTTGCCGCCTCCGGCTCCTCTTCCATCGACCATGCAAAAGTGGAACGAAACGGCGGGCGAGGAGGATGTTGCGCCCTACTCCAGGCTCTCCTTCCTCCTCCTCCTCCCAACTCACCAGCCACGAAGCTTGCCGCCCATGGCCTCCTCAGCGCCGCTTCCTATCATCATTATGCTGGCGCCGTAGCAGGATGGTGCAGCTCCGCCTCGATTGCCCCCTCGCATGAGCGCCAGCGCCGAGTCCGTGGCTGCCTTCACCGCCCGCGGCTACGGTGGCACGCCCCTGCCGAGGAGAGAGGGAGAGAGGGAGGAAGAAGGAGTCAAAGAGAGAGGCTGACATGTGGGTCCCACATGTTAGTTGGGCCCTTTTTTTTAATGACAAATGGGTCCCCATAAATTTTTGCACTTCTAATGACATATAAGAGTTATGTCAACACCACGTCGGATGAAGATCAAGTTAACACCGCCACGTAGTCGCCACGTCAACGAAACCACCTAGGAAATCAAATTGCACCGGTTTTAACAGTTTAGGGGTCAAAATTTTGGTTTTGCGGTTGAGGGTCAGGTCACTTTGAAGGGACCTAAGTGAACTTATTCCTGGGCTGTATCTGTGTGGAAGGATGCTATATCCTATGGCCCATTTAGTTATATTGGGCCTTGTTTTTCGGTCGCGCAGAAATGCAGAAAGAATCACTCGGTGGACTTAGGCCGGCCTTTGCCACACCACACAAACATATAAAAAATTCGAAATTTTTCATTTTTAATTTTTTTTAAATATTTACAGAAATAATCTATCGTCGCAAAAATTTAAAAAATAGACCCTGCCGCCCTAGTGGAGGGCGGCAAGCTGACGTGGCAGACGACGGCTCGACGGCGCCGTGTGCGTATTTTGCGCTTTGGTCCTGGGCGGCAAGGGGCGTAATGCAATTTGCCTAGCTGGAAAGAAGCATTTGGCTGGTTTTTTGCATCTAGGTCCCTTGCCTCCCTCCTAGAGGGCGGCAAGGGACCTAGATGCAAAAAAACCAAGTCAAATGCTTCTTTCCCGCTCTGTTGATATGGCCCTTCCCGGGCTGGCTTTTTTTGCATGGAGGCCCCTTGCCGCCCTGGCAGTGGGTGGCAAGGGTGTTAATACAAAAAAATCAACTTTTTCAATCGGCCATCACCACCCGTCGAGCTGTCGTCTGCCACGTCAGCTTGCCGTCCTCCACTAGGGCGGCAGGGTCTATTCTTGTAAATTTTTCCAACGATAGATTATTTCTGTAAAAATTTTAAAAGAAAATTTTAAAAATGAAAAAAAATCTAAAAAATTCATCCCCTCGTTCAAAACTTTTTTGGAGGGATTTTGGATGCTTTTCTAAAGAGAACTACTACACCACGGGATTCCGTTTTAACAGGAGATCAATTATGACGCGGACATCACCTCCCTTGCTTCTAGCGCTTCGTCATTCCAATCTCTCATTTCCAACCATGTCATTAAACAATATACTCGTACAGGGCTACTAGACGTGTGATGCATATATGCCTCGTAAGTATTAGGTACCATATATGATTCATCTATGTACTTCACACGATACTTAGGTAATAGACATACATGGTACCTAAATTCTAGGCATGGTACATATGAGTACCAGGTCTGATATCTATCGGATTTGGTACTCAGGTAACTGGTCTGGTATCTATATGTATTAGGTATGATATTTAGATACTGGGTCTGATACTCAAGTATCGGATTTGACACATATAGGTATCGGGTTTGATATCTTTATGTATCGGGTCTGATACTTAGATACCGGATCTGATACTCATGTATCGGATTTGACACATATAGGTATTGGGTTTGATATCTATTTGTATTGGGTCTGATACTTAGATACCGGATCTGATACTCAGGTACTGGATCTGGTACATATAGGTATCAAACCTGATATCTATATGTATCGGGTCTAATATTTACATATCGGGTCTGATACTCAGGTACTGGATCTGGGTACATATAGGTACCATGTCTAATATCTATATGTATCGGATTTAATATTTAGATATCGGGTCTGATACTCCCATATCGGATCTGATATTTATAGGTATCGAATAAAAAGAAAAAAATAGTGTGTATTACACGATTATTATAATTATGCTAATGCAATTTTTTCTGTTCCATATCAAATCTTAAAAGCATCACAACCAAAAAATAAAATTAAAAACAAAGCAAGATAAAAAAAGGGAAAACAAAAAATTAAAAAAAAGGTCACATGAACGGTCCAGGTATAGATGAATTGTAGTTAGGCCAACATATTCACATGCCCAAACGGTCCACATGGGCCGGAGACCTGTTTGTCAAAAATCCTCGTGCAGGAAAGGAAAAACACATGCATAGTGCGCGTGAAAATCATGTGCGCATTGTCTTTCTGATGGAAATAACGTTTACCATTAGTGACTTAAGTCATCCCGTTTCCACGGAATAGTGTTCTCTAGATTTTCTCTTTTCTAAAGGATATTTAACCCTTTTTTTTGTGAAATTCCAGTATAAATTTCTGTGTTCAAGAAGAACCCTTAATCGACTAAACAAAAGGTCCTTTGTAAATCACCATATAGCTTCCCCCCCTCGTTCAAAAATTTCTTGGATGATTTTTGGACGTTTTATAAACGAAATTTAACTTTTTTTTCTGAAATTCCCGCCTAAATTTCTCCATTTCAAAATAACCCTTAATTAAACAATAGGTCCTTTGTAAATCATCCTTTAGCTTTTCCTAAGGGACAAAGAAAAAGAAAAAACGAAGTGTCGGGAGAACACAAATGATACACGAACTAGAACGTCCAATACATACCCACAGAAATCAGAGAGTATTAATAGGATTGCAACAAGCAAAGCACACACAAAAATTGCAGGTACAAAAGAACATGGCGGCGGCGCGCGCTGCCGGTTTTAGGAACCTACTATAATGCCTTGAGGGTGGCTGCTCCTCCTCCGGCGGCGGCGGTGGCCTGGAGGAGGCCGTCGCGGACCTGCGCGGCCATGTCGCGGACGGCGCTGGGGCCGTGGGGGATGAAGACGGTGGAGGACCTGGAGGTGGCGCCGATGTCGCGGATGGTGTCGAAGTACTGGGTGACGAGCACCATGTCCATGACGTCCTTCTCGTTGGGGACGAAGCGCTTGAGGCCCTCGACGATGGCCTGGCGCTGCCGGGCCACGCCGACGCCGGCGAGGTACTTGGCCTCGGCCTCCCCCTCGGCGCGCTTCACCTGCTGGATCTTGTCGGCCTCGGCGCGCTCCGCCGCCGCCACGCGCAGCCGCGCCGCCGCGTTGATGTCGTTCATGGCGCGCCGCACCACCTCGTCGGGGACGATGTCCACGATCAGCGTCTGCACGATCTCGTACCCGTACATGGTCATCGCCCTCGCCAGCTCCTCCTCCACCGCCCGCGCCACCTCCTTCTTCTGCCCGAACACCTCGTCCAGGTTCATGTTCGGCACGCTCGCCCTGATCACTGCGTCAAAGAATTCCACACCTTCACGCTCCGAAACATTTCTACTACCAGCAGAAAGCACCGTACAAAATATTATTTTAAAAAATAATAATCTATTATTAATATAGACCATAGTATTATAAGTTTTATCAGTATTATCTCTACTTGATAGTCGTAAAAAAAACATGTCGAAATTTCTTTTCTCGAAGGAATCCAACACTTAGACAGTATGAAGTTCCATTGAATATAGCAGGGAAAAATTGTAAAATTATAACCTCGAAAACACTAGTCACCGACCCACACATCTGAGGAAAGGCTAGCACCGAATCGATCACCGGCCACCGCTAAACCAACGAGGAACTATAGATGTACCCCGGCCTGTCGAAATTATTATGGTTGTGGGGGTGTGATTACGTACCGTCGAAGACGTAGGACTGGATCTGGGCGTGGGCGTTGGTGAGGCAGTAGAAGGCGTCGTAGGCCCTGTCGGCGAGGGCGCGGTACTGGACGGAGGCGACGACGGTGACGAAGACGTTGTCCCTGGTCTTGGTCTCGCAGCGGACGTCGAGCTGCTGGACGCGGAGGGAGAGGTAGCCGGCGACGCGGCGGCCGACGCACCACGGCACGAAGTGGCACCCGGGCCCCAGCACCGCGTCGTACCTCCCCCACGCCTCCTCCACCGCCACCGTTGACTGCCCCACGCACGCGCAGCACAGCGCCTGCGCCGCCTCCGCCGAGTAGCTGCTGCCCCCCGCCGCCGTCGCCGGAGACGACGACGACGTCGACGACGTCACCCCGCCCATCTTAATTTGGTCCCCTTGTTCCTGATCTTGCAAAGCTAGCTTAGATTATGTACTTTCGGAGTGTGTTTATGGGCATGCAAGAAGAGAAGAGCAGAGTTTGACTGCGAAGAAGTGACATCGCTGCCACGCTTTAGTGACAAAACAAAAAAGCAAAGCAAAGGGAGTATTAGTGCCAATGATGTACACCAGACCAAGTAACCTCCTGATTAAGTCTTGCTCCAATTGGCAAAGACTAGCATCGGGTGTGAACTCTGAACAGATGAAACGTAATCACAATAATTAATTGACGAGCTGGTTAGAATAACAAACACATTGACACACAACATATGAGGTATCCATTGACCGGATAGGGCAATAGGCACCTCGGTTTCAACTGTCAAAGTTGGACTAGTACTAATGGGACAAAATACAAGGGGGTTGGAAGGCGCAGCACACAAGCGAGCGCACGGCAGCATGGCAGTGGCAGCGTAGTCAAAAATCTTCGGCCATATCAGCTCCAATCCGGGCCCGAACCAAACGGGGACGGGGACGCACCAGCTGGGTCGCCATCGATTCGGAGGTCTCTGCATCGGCGACCGCGGCTCACAGATCGAGTAGTGAGTGACTGGTGCAATCGCCGTCCGGCCTTGACCGCGTTTAGTTTCTCTGCTGTGTGACGGTCATTTATATTGATCGCACTATCGCAGTGTTTATGTACACGTCTGCAAAGTTTTCTACCATGCGAAGTGATTTGATGTCAAACTACCATGCGAAGTGTTTGAGGGGGTTGTCACTATGATCTGATGTCAAACCAGAGGGATAAGATGAGCGCGAAAGGGATATCTCTTTTTGGCCGAGGATACACCGATTACTCACTCCGCCTCAAAAATAAATTTATTTTTCGCTCATCTCACATATATCAATACAAAAATAAAAATACTAAAATACTCAAACTTTATCAAATCCCAATGCAACTATTGTTCACTTTAACTACTCTCAATTTCATTGTTGCTTTAATTTTACAAACTTCTATGCAATAATTATTCTAAAAATAAACATATTTTGAGACAAAAGGGACTTAAAAATAAACTTATTATACGAGACGATGGGAGTAGTTTATTATTGAGTGACTATCAGCGGCAGAGTATCTACTGTTAGGCTGACTCTGGCCTTGACTACTATACTTCCTTTGTTTCCCAGAGACTCCATTTGTCGGTATTTGGTTATAACGTTTGACTCTTCGTCTTATTTAAAAAATTTCAATGATCAGTGTTTTTATTGTTATTATACGATAAAGCATGAATAATATTTTATACGTGACTAAATTTTTTGGATTTTTTCATAAGTTTTTCAAATAAGATGGACGATCAAACGTGGGATACATAAAGCGAAAAATAAGTTTTTTTAGGACGGAGGGAATACTAGCAAAAACATTTGTGATGTATTGCCGGAGATCGGGAAACACTTCTTCCTCACCCAGGCTCAATGGCACTGCTGGCTCCGTCACTGAATATCGACCCGAAAACTTGCATGTACAAAGGGAAAAAAAAAGCAAAGTTTTCGGATTGCGATGGTGATTCAGGGTTGCTGCTCTATGGATTTTGGTAGACCCAATGGGCTGCATTTTCCATGACAGTGCTTGGGTTTTCAGTCCAGGCTTCAGGCGGTCCGATGACATTTTTCTTTGTTTCTTCCTTCTCTCCCCTACCTATTGAAAACCGCAGCGTCTCATCACTGAGCTGCATTTGCGGTCCAAGATTTGTGGTAGCTGGTTACCGCTCTGGCGAACTCCAGATTGTCGTATCAACTGATCTTTAGTGCCATGCCACGAACAAAAACCTTCCACCACAAAATCGGACAGCGTGCAAATGATCCTAGAACGGATCGCTGTACTATACCGTACCACTACCATATGCATGTCCCCCTCGGCCAAAAAAATTACCCTACAAATCTAAACGCATGTGTTCAGGTTCATATTTGCTACATATTAGGACGGAGGGAGTAGTTAGGAATTTTTTTTTTGGACAAAGTAGTACTACCTCCATAAAAAAAAACTCAACCTCGTACTACGAATCTAAGGTTAGGTTGTGTTTAGTTCAGCGCAAAATTTGGATTTTGGTTGAAATTGGAGATGATGTGACTGAAAAGTTGTGGGTGTACGACAGATTGATGTGATGGAAAAGGACTGAAGTTTGGATCCAAACTTTAGAACTAAACACAGCCTAAACATACTCTATATCCAGATTCGTTGTATTAGGATGTATCACATCCTAATACTAGGTTGCCTTTTTTTTTTTTGACAGAGAGTATGTACGTAGTGGTGTACCGTACGTCCGTACCAGAAGCCATACGGCACCAGTCTACGGCACGCACAAAGCTGCAGCCTGCAGGCACCAGCTTGTAACTCACTTACAACGACGCAGTACAACAAGAAGCAGTAACAATCAATCCATCACAGACAAGAGAGTGAGTAGAGAGTTACCAGCCGGTAAAAAGGATGGGTAAAATGATCAGGGGAGTAATGGCACGTGCGAGCATCTTAGATTACCAAACTCGCATCGTCGCATGCATGCATATGATCATGATCTATCTGTCAAAGGAAGGAGGGGTGCGTCGCGTACCACGGCCTACCTGAAAGCGGAGCTTAGCTCTGTCACCCCATCAATGGCACATGCGCCTTAACTGACCTGCCTGCCCTTCCTCCCTTCCTCACCATCTCCATAATCCAGCAAGCATCATGGAATGATGATGGCGACGACGAAGACGACGGTCTTTGATGACGACCAATTTGCCTCCCCTTTTTTTTTGCCATTCTCCACATGGCGATTAATTACAAGGCGAAGGCGACCGACAGGTGATGACAGTGCGAGTAAGAGCCCAAACCCAGCATTCTCCGGGAAGGGGCAAACCTAACCACCTCAGTCTGAGCATTTGTTCAGAAGAAAAGCAAAAGAAAAACCCGGTTTGATCCACCCCCTCTCCCAAGTCAAGGGTAAGCTAGAATTGGAAATGTAGAAGCTTAAGCGACAAGATGAAAGTTTGCACATTGTACACGTTTGCGCGCAGTTCTAGTCGTTCTGGAAACCCGGTTTCCTCCACGACACAGGGTGCTCCCAGGTGCCATGGTAGGTTGGTTGGGTGCACCACCAATGCACCCAGGTTGGATAGGAAGTCCAGTCTTGCACTGATCATTGTTGAATGGATGGCAGAATGAGCACCAAGGACTCTCTCATTGCAGTTTGCCGTTGTTGGGCCTTGGGGACTGCCGGTACGGGGAGGCGTGCGGGCCATAGGAGAGGCTCCTCATTGGCTGCTGCCCGTTGCGCGCGAAGGTGCCCTGTGCCTTCATGCTTTGGCTGCCAATTGGGTTGCCGAGGCTTGCGGCACGCTCCTGCTGCATGGATTGGAAGAAGTATGAGGAGCTGGCCATGTCTTTGAGGTTCAGGAGGGGCTTGAGGACTTCGACCACTTGACTCATGAGAGGCCTGGCCTTGGGATCCCGGTTAAGGCAGGCACAGGCCAGCTGAGCTGTCTTCTGAGCGCCTCTTATGGAGAAGTTCCCCTCCAGACGGGGGTCTACAAGCCTATAGAATCGCCGTCTTTCTCCAAGATAAGGACGCGCCCATTCAACCAGGTTGTGTTCACCGTTTGGCCTATTCTTGTCCATTGACCTTCTGCCTGACATCATCTCCAGTAGCACCACTCCAAAGCTGTACACGTCACTCTTTGATGTCAAGTGACCTGAGAAAGAAATGAACTGATGAAGTGGTGGAACACTGCAATATACCAAGTGAATGTGGTGCAGTTTAATTCTCAAACAAGTGAATAAATAGCAAATTATGTACAGTACTGTGATATATGAGTACATTCATTCAGCTTAGATCAGTCAATGGAAGTTCAAAGCTCATCAAATCAAAATGGGCAACATAATTTTGAGCCAGTGCAATTATGATTCTTTTGGACTGCCTCAGAGAGAGAGATTCAGATAAACAGCTATTGCACCACCACAGCAGCACATGGAGTGCCTTAAATATCAGTAATCACAGAAAATTAAGATGGTGTGCCATGATAGCACCCAGATCATTGTGAATGTGACCAAAAAAGGTGCAGGCTATAATAAAACACTCCATGCACACATCCTTGTACACAGATTTCATCTATGTCAAGTCACTGAAAGTTTCTACTGAAGGGCTATCTAGGAAATTTGTCAAAGGAAATATAATGTGCCATGAAAGATTTTACTACATGTGCAAGTTTGGATAGAGGTTCAGCAGCATGATGCAATATTTCAAAATTACTCAAGCAAGCCAACTAACAAAGTAATGATCAACTCACCTGTCATGACATACTCCGGAGCTGCATATCCATAAGTTCCCATGACTCGAGTAGATACATGTGTTTTATCACCCTCAGGGCCATCTTTAGCTAGTCCAAAATCAGAGAGTTTTGCATTGTAGTCCTGAAAATGAATATTTAAGAAATATGAGAATGTTACAATCTAAATGAACATTTCTAATATGTTTTGATTCTCAAACATGGTTGCATACCGCGTCTAAAAGAATATTTGAAGTTTTGAAATCCCGATAGATAACTGGCCTTTCAGCTTCTTCATGAAGAAAAGCAAGGCCCTTAGCAGCACCAAGTGCTATTCTCATTCTGATGGCCCATGGGAGAGGTAAAGACCCTGTTTAATACAATTATCCAAGACAAATATCAGATAAATACAAGACACTTCAGAATAGAGTTATACTGAAATGAAACAGTTGGGCCAAATTTAACGCAACACAGCAATAACAGTGCATAAACTACATTGTCTAAAGGAGGAGAACAAAGAGTTGCACCCAAGGTATTTAGTCGGTAATAATAAAACACCAAAAATACATCATTTGGAATTGGAAACATGTAACATAGCACCACCTAACACCCTTATTGACTGCCAGAAATCGTAATGAACAGTTAGTAAGGTGTCAGCCATTTCTTAATGAACTCTTAAATGCCAAACTGTCAGACATTCAAGTATACAGTACAACAGAATTGCTACAAAATATGAATAAAATAAATAATCAACTACATCACTAGAGCAGAGTACAATATAGAAAAGTGCATATAAAAATGCAGGTACTACAAGAAAAACTGCTACCGTGAACAATGAAAGAACTCCAAACTGTTGGCAACAAATGGGAAGAAAAAAATGACTGACAGTAGGACGCAAAGATTCTTACTCCTAAAAAGATGGTTCTCCAAGCTTCCACGAGGCATAAATTCATACACTAGCAACCTTTGGTCATCTTCGATGCAGTAACCAACCAATTTCACTAGGTGTGGATGTTGAAGGTTTCCAAGAAAATCAACTTCTGCCTGAAAATGAAATAACGCTAGTTTAATTGATGATGCATTAGAAGACAGTTGAATAATATTTTGTGGTCTGTATGCTGAAGCAATTCAAAACATACCACCCACTCTTTATGGCCCTGCAGCCCATCATGGTTAAGTGTCTTGACAGCAACCGTTAATCCTGTGCCAGGTTTTACGGGAGCAGTTCCGTTCTCCTCAATCCAACCTTTAAAGACACAGCCAAAACCTCCTTCACCAAGGAGACTCTCAGGCCGGAAGTTTCTTGTGGCACACTTAAGTTCATTAAATGTAAACCTACGGAGTTGGAAAGCTAGTTTAAGTTCCTCTCCGACTATGGACGAAGGTGAGATGCTTCCAGTGTTACTGGATGTTGTGGAACCAGAGGCCATTGGTTGAACTGAATGGTCTCGACAACCATCATTCGCTGATTTGCTTTCTGCACATGAAACATAATCCTTGTTAGGGGAATAACTAAAAAGCTTATATCATTAACATAATATCCTAAAATAACTCAACAGGAAAAGGACTTGGTTCTTAGCAGAAGATGACAACCTGAGACGGTTGCAGCAGAAATATTTAGCAAGTTCTAGAGGGTTTGTTGGGATGTATTTTATGCTATGTCCCACACTGTATGATTTGTTCAGAGTTTTTTTTTCCCTTTCTACGTTTCAAACGGTTGGGTCGAAGATTATCTATATGAAGATTAAAGATTAAAAAGAAAGAAAAGGCTTCTTTCCCAACAAAAGCAGGTAAGTCAGCATTACATCAAGAATAGACCAGTTTTTTTTCTTCCAAATTTTGGTTCCCAAACAATGTAATGTAAGAAAAGGCACTACCAGAACAAATTAATACATTCGTGGACAGAGGAGTAGAAAATGACCACTCCTTTTACTCCAACAGAGCTGGACATGAATGCCATATTCAGCCAAAGCTCCAACTATCCATGTGGCCTGCTAGAGTGTTAAGTGCAAACTGGAGCGACCAAGTATATTAAGTCAAGTTAGCATTTCCCTATTGAGCGTTTCACTTCACTCATACACACACGTTTGTCGGTATTCAGCGCATGCATTATCTAATTATAGCCAAATATGCAAACCTCCATGCAACCCACACACCAATAAAATATAAGCATCTACAAACACAAACTGAAAAGAATTGAAAGTACTGAATCTAATCTGCTCGCCTCCCGCCAACCACAGGTGTTCTACTCATCTCACAGCAACCAAACCGTCACTACATATCTTCCCCATACTACAACGGCTTCATCCAGAGGACATCCACTACAGAATCCCCTGGCACTAGCAAGCCACAAAGCCCTACAACCAGGAGCACAAAGCACGAGCAACTCGAACACCAATGGCAGCACTCCAAAGCCACAGACCCTGCAGACTCGTACACAACAGCACAGCAGGACAGCACACAGCTCCCATCATCAATCTCATTAATCTAATACCCGTACGTGAATGAAGCGGAGGCCATCCCGTCCCGTCCCATTCCCATCCTATGCCAGTATGCCACACACACCCCACACACACACACCAACCACTCTATCCAACTCACGCTCTTGAATTCGTACCACCCACCAAAGCCCTCTCCTCTCCTCTCTCGGATCACACCAACACACATCCATTTTTTTCATCATAGAATGCTCCCATCACAATCAAACATTACTTCTAAAAGTAAAAAAGGATAAAAACAGAAAATACTACTAGAAAACAAAGCTTCCGCCAGCAGCCATGGCGCCATCTCATCTCATGCGGCGCTAGCGTACAATTCTCTCGCGCCCGTGCACGCGTGGCGCCGCCACCCCGAGCGACCGACGCAAAAGCATGCGCCGAAAACGAAGAGCGGAACACGAGGGAAGCAAGCAAGTAGTACAAGCGAGTGCGGGAGAGGATGGAAGAGATTACCGCCGCCGACGCGAGCGCTGCCGCCGCCGCCGCCGCCGCTGGTGGTGGTGGAGGAGTCGACCTTGGAGCGCGACGACATGCAGCCGCCGCCGAGCCGGCGCGGGATGCGGATCCAGCACCCCATCGCGGGCGCCGCGTCCTCCTCCTCCTGCTGCAGCACCATCTCCCCCGCCCCCTTCCCCTTCCCCTTCCTCCTCCGCCTCCCCTCCTCCTCCCGCCGCTTCCCCTCCTTCCCCATCACCCCCACCCGCGCGCACACACGCACCTTCACCGCCGCCGCCCACCCGCGCAACCCCCGAGGTCCCCCGCTCGTCAGCGCCGCGGAGGAAGCCGCCGCCGCGCGCTCCCCCCGGCGGCGAGCGCGCAGGGTGGCATCGGCGACGCCGCGCGGCGGGTGGTGGTGGAAGGGAAGTCGAGGAGGAGAGTGAAGAGGAGGGGTGGTGGTGGTGTCGGGGCAGCGCGGGCAGGGGAAAGGCGAAGGCTGAGGGCGAGGATGCGGGCAGAGCGGGCAGGGCGGCCAGAAAGCCAAGCGGAGTGGGAATTTGGCAAAGACCGAGGGAGAGGAGAGGAGAGCCCCCTGCCCCTGCACCTTCTTATGGCCGCCGTCCGCATCCGTCCGTCTATAGAACCCCCGTTTTTGCATTTTACTCCCTACAAGATTTCTAATATATCCTTCAAGATTGTAGCATTATCCTTTCTCTCATAGAGGCTTCAACCTGCTGCCTCTTCTTCGCATCAACGTGGTCGCTTTCGGCATGGTAAAGAGTACAGGAACTAGGGTTTAGAGTTTAGTGCTGAGGATCCTTAAATTCACGATATTGTAATATGTCCAGAAAAATGCATGAGAGGTGATACGTACTAATTAAACGCGGGAAGATGTAATAAGGGATGACGTAATAACGTATCCCAAATACGCGCGGGAGGTTGTAGCAATTAAAAGCGGAAAAATAAAAGTTAACGGTATTGGATGATGGAGTTTTAAGTCGGGTTTAATGTTTGATGTGTTCTAAATACACGATACTATAATATGTCCAAAATAGTCTTGAGAGTCAATATCGATTAAATGCGGGGAGAGATAATAAGGGACGAAGTGATGACGTGTTCCAAATACTCTCAAAAGATTGTACTAGTTAAAGGCGGAAAATAAATTATAACGGTATCACTACTATGTTGTTTACAAATGCCTTTTTTTTGGGGTGCGGGTGGAGGGGTGCTTATAGCTATCCAATGGATCTATGTGTAAATACTAGAAAATTTTGTCTCCAACCGATATTCCTCGCAAAGCATGTTTATCCATAGAAAGAAGGTGATGAAACTCTGCAGGGTTTAAACTGATAATCTTGGCAAGCATTAACTTTTATAAATACTCATTATTCACATAAAAGACAATAATAAATACAGTATCAATATGTGGTGTATCCAAGCAAATCATTTATCAATAAATCCAATCAATTATTACTCAAAATGTGTGCGCATATGTGCTTTAATTTTGAGTTTTAGATAAAGTAACTCGTTATTTCACTGAACCGTCGCTTGATTGCAAACCCGCTAAGTATATGCAATTCGAGTTTATGACTTCGAGTCTGGTTGGTGTACATCGTTTCTGACGAAGATATCATAACTTATAATCCTTATGTATATTGGTACGTGGATCTTTACAAGCATAATATACAACCAAACACGTTTATGTGATGATATTATTTTCAAAACCACGGAATCAAAAGTGTAAATGAATAGAGTTTGAGGCAGTACAAAACAGGGGGTGGAAGTCTGATTAACGAATGCGTAAAATATACATTCAAATATTTGAAAACCAAACATGCCAAAAACTAGCACGGTTAGATTCCAAGTTTTATACCAAGAACAGAAAATAAAAATGGGATAAAACATACTATTAGAAGCGACTACAATCCTTATTTTTTTCAAAAGACAAACCTGTAACTATGCTATATGCATTTGAAACGGATTAACCAAAACCAGCTCGAAATTTTTCTTTTGGTAACGTAGGCAGAACTATGTTCATATTGAGAACGGATAAGCTACAGCCTTTCAAGATAAGCATGTCTGAAGGCTCGTTGCTCGGTTGTCCACAGTAGTTTTGACTTTTGTCTTTTGATGTTAACCGTGACATGCACAGTTTCAGTTCAAAGGAACAAATAAACTAAAAAAAATTACAAGGTTCTATCTGCAAATCGACACCAACACACGCACATTTTGACGATATTCACGAATCCACCATCCATTTCAAATCCAACAGCCCCCTCTACTCGGACGCCGTCCGTTGAGGCGTTGATGCCTATCTCCCGCAAACAAAAAGAAAAAAAATACTCCAAAAAAAAAAGAAGAAGAGAACACGAGAGAAAGAGAGCGCCCATTATTCTGGAAACATAGCGATAACGAACCCCTGCGACTGCCATCAATGACAAGTGGGCCCACCCAAAGGTGGTCCCGGTGTGCCAGTTACGGCGCTCGCGTGCCCCTCTCCCCACCGGGCCCAGTGGCAGCTGGGGGGTGGTGCAGATATTAGTAACAAAAGAATTTTGGTAGGATGATAAAAGAATAATAAAATATTAAAATACCTTGCATGTATTGGTCCTTTTTGTGAAAAGAAGCACTTGGACTTTAGAGCAGAGAGCAGCAGGGGTTGGCTGGCTTGCTATGCTGGCAACGTTGGCAGGATCTCGATCCGTATTCTATTATGCTATGATACTATCTTACTATGAAACAATATCAATCATTTTATTCTAATTTTCATAGTATCCCGATCTTACTATTTATTTACACATGATCTTACGAAATCTTAGCTAGTATCATGATTCTACGATCCTACAAAATATTATTTAAAATAAGGTGGATTGAAAATAATGTGAATAAATATTCTTAAGTTTTACATAAAAACCAATTAAATTTATCAAAATCAATTTATATGCGTTAATTTATACAACATATTATATATTTTATATTAAAAATATATACCTTCTAAAATATGATAGTATCGTGATCTTATAATATTATAAATCAGAAAACGTTCCTAGTATCTCAAGACTGATTACCTTTGTTGGCTTTGGGTGTGGGTTTGGTTTGAGTTAGACACGGGTAGTTAAGGCACAAATCATTTCTTCATGCATTCACCCAAAAAGAAGGCTACTTAGTACTTACCGGTTCTTGAAACAGCCTTAAAAAGAGGTTAGTAATGATTCGAACCCAGGAAAATAAGGCTCATTTTGGTATGAGAAATAGTACCGGTACTCGAGACTTAATGCGTGACGATGATTTAATTTGACCAGTGCATAAATAAGTATGTGAATTGAAGTGCCGTTATATTGTCATTGTCTATAAATACCAAGACAAACTGACTTTTTAGAAGGTTTTAGAAGGGAGAAGACAGGGATACGACACCATAACACAAAAGTAGACACAAAAGTATATGATGTTTTGGGATCTAGGAGTAGAATTTAGATGAAACGTTGACCTATTACACCCTCTAGCTACTATAACCACCATACGTGCACAGAAACATTGTGAGCTTACCCTCTCCCATGTGTAGAGGTGGATATCGACCACCATGACTCTCCTTTACAGCTTTGATATGATCTTGTCAACTCTTCCAAGTTTCAAAGGGCTTATTTGCATTTAGAGGTACTCCACAAGAAAAAAAAATTAACTCATCTTGCATGTAACAAAAACCAAGAAATCTAGCGCTGCAAATCTCTTCATTTAAGTTTTGATCTATGAAAATTATAAATTAATATGTCCATCTCATTTAAAAAATATAGAAAATAAAAAATACATAATTTTTAGATGGAGGGAGTATATGACAAAGACAAGCTAGCAGTAGGATTGGGGAAAATGGACGGTTAGGATTAGCTCAAACACATCCCCATCCTCACCAAGCCTCGTCCATCACCTAAATCCTGAAGATTCCATAATAGTAAAAAGATTGTTAACTAACTGAAATCCCGTGTGTTATTTCGGACATGCGTAGTTGTAGGTAATAATTAGGAAGAAACGCTTTTTAAAACAAATAAGCATGAATAATAATAATAATAATAATAATAATAATAATAATAATAATAATAATAATAATAATAATAATAATAATAATAATAATAATAATAATAATAGCATACAGTATAAATGGTTGAGATTAAGCATGTAAGAGATCTAACGGCTCACCTTATTGCTTCACGTACGTTAAGGGCATCTGACAGAGTATTTGCATATGGTTTGCTAACTACATGAGTTTGACGCTATGAAATTTTACAAAGAGGAGGAGGAAGAAGAAGAAGCTACTCAGAAAGAACCAAACCGGCCTTACCTAGAATAACTGTCCTGCCCACTAAATTAATTAACCAACATGTCTGAACACGGTCAAGAATGTCTAAACTGCCAGTGAAGTTGTTCTTAAACAAACATGAGCTAGCGACTGTGATTAACTAATCATATATAGTACACGTTTTGCCCCTAAACAACTGCTAGTTGCAGAGTGTTAGACCGGTCAACGAATAGTTTTCTCCTATTAGCCAGTATAATTATTTTTTCCCCAATAATCTGTGTGCCGTAGGGTAGGACTAGGAAGGCCTCGATTGTCAATGGCCGGTAAGAAAGTTAGGTATCCACCGAATAATAATGCACTGGGATGGAGTGGAGTGGACTTCATCACACAGGGAATCTCTTGCTCCGGAAATTATATGCATGCAGGGTTATGAACATGGCAGCGACAGTAGCTTCATCTTCATGGGACCCAAGTTTGACAAATTAGTGAAGCTTCGAGGATAAAAAAAAGTAGTAATGTGCGGAAGAATTTGTAAGTTTTAGAATCGGTCGTGACGGTGGTGGTGGCGGCGGTGGTAATGACGGTTGTCAGCAGCTACAAAATCTCTACCATTAGGCTTCCAGCAGGGAACTTATTTTCTCTAGTTTTTGGTAAGAATGATTACACTTACCCTTTGTTACCGAAGTTTTACTTTATACCATATGTACTCTATCTAATGTTTTCATATTGGACTAAATATTTTTACCATTTTTCACTTTGGACTCACCTAACACTTTTGTATAACCACATCCAACATCTCCTCCGCAAACATGTGAGCTACACATAAGTAGAAAAGATCATTGGCATGAGGACGCTGATGTACTCGTAAAGATGGTGATCCAAAGAGTATAAAGGGTGAAAATTCCTAGTTCAAGGTGAAATGATTGGATAGAAGGCGATTCAAAATGAAACTTTGATAATAAAATGTGATAAACTGCAATTCACCCTATTAGGAATTATTCCCAACGTTTTAGAATGTTGTTTTGGTTTTGTCCAAAGTTAAACCACTTTAAATTAACTAGATTTATTTATAGGAAAACATAACAACATCAAATTAATTTCGTTAAATCCACAACTGAATATTAATTATATTTATTTAGTATTAAAAATGCTAATATGTTTCCCGTAAACTTGACAAAAGGTGATGAAATTTGACTTAGGAAAAAAAACACCTTACGTTCTTAAGCAGACAGAGAGAGTAGGGAGATGTTTGGGATTCTGGAAATGGAGGATGATTTGCTGTGAGGATATAGTTGTTCCTAATGTGCTGTTTCTTGAAAAAAAGTTGCCGTTCCAAATCAAGACACACTTTACGCTGGGCTTGGGCTGTTTTTACCATCCCGACCTGTGCAAGCTTGGGCCGAGCCCGTTTCCAGCCCAACTCAGACAGGCCCAGCTTTGCTTTGCGATTCGCGCTCTGACGTGCGCGGGATCGGTCGGTCAACCGCGACCGACCTACTCCGAAAGGCACACGTGACACGCCTTTGCCGCCTTTGCGATCTCAAAGCCAAAGCCGAGGGCACACGCCGCCTTTGCGATCGACTCGCGCGTCTCCTCTCCTCCTTCCAGGGCTCAGGCGAGGGGGGTACGGTGGTGGTGGGCTCGCCGGAGAGATGGCCGAGCGCAAGGTGATCAACAAGCACTACCCGGACGACTTCGACCCGTCCAAGATCCCGCGGCGGCGGCAGCACAAGAAGCAGATGGTGGTGCGGATGATGCTGCCGATGACCGTGCGCTGCGCCGCCTGCGGCGAGTACATCGGGAGGGGGACCAAGTTCAACTCCCGCAAGGAGGACGTCGCCGGCGAGAGGTACCTCGGCGCCGTCCAGGTGTTCCGCTTCTACATCCGCTGCTCCCGCTGCTCCGCCGAGATCGTGTTCCGGACCGACCCCGCGAGCGCCGGCTACGCGCTCGAGTCCGGCGCCACCCGCCCCTCCTACGAGCCGTGGCCCGCGGCGGCGGCGGAGGCGGGGCGGGAGGAACGCGGCGGCGGCGACGCCATGACGGCGCTCGAGGGCCGGTGCCGCGACGCCAGGCGCGAGATGGGCGTGGACGCCGCGCTGGAGGAGATGCGGTCGCTCAAGTCGAGGCGCGCCGGGGTCACGCCGGAGCAGCTGCTGGAGTCGCTGCGCCGTCGCGGGGAGGCGCTGGCCGAGCTGGAGGAGGACGACGAGAAGCTCATCAGCTCCATCGCGTTCGGCAACGCGAAAGAGCGCAGCCTCAGACGGATCGACGACGGCGACGACGAAGACGACGAGGAGGATTTCTTCGATTCGTGCCTGGCCAGAGCAGCCATGGCCACCACCAGCCACCAAGCAAAGAAGAGGCCGCCGCCACCGCCGCGAGATGCGGTTAAATCGTTGGTCGTTTCGAAGAAGAGAAGGCCAGAGAGCATGGATCAAGCTGCATGGCCGCCGTCGTCGGGGAAGACCACCGCGAGCAACGGTGCTCTTCAGGTGCTTTGCTGTAACTATGACGACGAGGAGTAGTAGGAGAGCTAAGCTAATGTGTGGTGATGGAATTTGACAATGATTCTTTCCCTTATGGCTTGTTTAGTTGGCAAAAAAAAAAATTGTCCCTACATATCACATCGAATATATGGACACATATTTAAAGTATTAAACGTAGTCCAATAACAAAAGAAATTATAGATTCCGCCATTTACTGTAGCACCACATTGTCAAATCATGGCACAATTAGGCTTAAAAGATTTGTCTCACAATTTCCTGACGAACTGTTTAATTGGTTTTTTCATGTCTATATTTAATACTCCATGCATATGTCCAAACATTCGATGTAACAACGTGAAAAATTTTGTTTGGGAACTAAACAAACCCTTAATTAAGCCATTTTAGTTAGACGCTGATATGATGTAGTACGTTTTAATTAATTATCGCCTGAAAGTAGTGCGCTCAGTATACGTACTTTGTAATTGTCACGTATAAAGATATTGATTGTGGATTTCAGTAGTTGAGAGATGAAAGAACTATTCATAGAGAGGCATTAATTGATTTCACTGTTTTAATTGAACATATACTGATTTTGTTACTCCTGCTTGAATGTCCTAAAGAAGGAGAGTATACTCCTGGATCCTTTTCAAGGCTTCAGCTATGTAAAATGGCAAACAAGCCGCAGTACCTTTTTTTTGGCAGAAATTTATCATAAATAAGCAAAGAATTAAAAAAAAAGGTCTATATAAAGTTTGGGACTATTACCGTGGCGCATTTCTTCCCAAGCGACACAAATTTTCAACCTTTGATTAGAACGGGTGTGGCAACTAGAAAACTTATATGACAGCATGTTTTCTCCACTACTATAAAAACACTCACGTCTTCTACCTTTCCCAGTCCCCACCATCGTACTTACTTCCTCCTCCAAGTAAAAAATCCACCATTCCTTGAAAAAACTATCCCTTCTAAAAACGAGAAAAACAAAATCCACCAACAATTAATAAAAAAAAATCAGATACGGGGTATATAAGACTAGCATAAAACCATTCATATGTATTCCCCCAATACAATTTGTAAGCACGGGCGTAGCACTACATAGAAAAAGGGTCAAAAATTTAAAAATATGTGTTCTGGCAGTGTAAATTATATGTCGTCCATATTGTAACTTTTTAATCATAGTACATCTCAAATTACAAAACTTAAATTGCAATTTTACAAGCTCACACGAAAAAGGCAAAATCACAATACAAGCCGTGCATGCCTCTACTTTTTTTTTTCGTTTTTGTGAACAACGTGTTCTTGTGGATAAATGAAGGATCAAAATCTAATCGATCCATTCAGGATAAAACGTATCAAAAGCAACCGATAAAAAAATAAATATTTGGAAAAAAACAATAAATAAAACCGTAAAATCTACGGCTCAACAACAAACCTCCGATATGTGCCGTTTATGTGGTGACAGTTGTAGGAGCCTTCCAGTCTGTCAAGCGGTGTGCATATCAATGGAGGCCAAAGGATTCAGTCGTCGTGGTTTTGCCGCAAAACTCTATCGATCTGATTCCCTACTGTTGTTTTATCTCATCAGAAAGTTTGCTTCCTTAGAGTGGTTACTCTCTACCTTGTTAGAGATGGTTTATTGGCTTAAGTTGTATCCTTGTACGATGTACTAGGGTATATCCCTAAATTCTGTCTCGTTGAATAAAGTTGTTCATGTTATCTTAAAAAAAAAATCAGTCTGGTCGTTCGGTCGGAGTCGGACTCGAGTCCTCGGCCCGGTCCAAATACAAAAAGAGCGCACGCCCCACTCGACACGTTGCCCCACCTCAACGTGACCGACTCGACCCCCACCCAAGACACGCCGCCGCCTACGCCCCCGAACTCCCCATCGCCTCGCCCGCGGATTCTCCTCCTCCTCCTCCTCCTCCTCCTTCCTCGCCGCCGGCGACGCGCCGCCGGCTACCTTTTGACGCTCCGACCGTGGTGCCCTTTTTCTGTGGGACCCGGGATCCTAGCTCCCCTCCTCCCCCGACGATTCCCGGTCGCCTCGGCGGCTCTCCTCCCGTCCTAGGGTTCCGGCGAGGTCCCCCGCGGCTGCGCCGGCGAGATGGGTGAGCGCAAGGTGCTGAACAAGTACTACCCTCCGGACTTCGACCCGTCGAAGATCCCGCGGCGGCGGCAGCCCAAGAACCAGCAGATCAAGGTGCGCATGATGCTCCCCATGAGCATCCGCTGCGGCACCTGCGGCACCTACATCTACAAGGGCACCAAGTTCAACTCGCGCAAGGAGGACGTCGAAGGCGAGGTAGGTTGGCCGTGGTTGCTGATTTGAGTTCATACACGCTTCCGTTAGCCGTTTACTTACGCTAATTTACTGCGATGTTTGCTTGTTTTGTTTGGCATTTGTACTGATCAATGTCTTAGGGCCTTTAGGCATAGCTTGTTATCTATCTTTTTTGCTTCTGAGAATCAGGGTTGCGCAACATAGCTTAAATCTCTCTGTGGTCTTTGTATTATATTTACCATGATAAAATGCTCTAGTAGTATAGTGTTTGCCATCGATATGCGGTGTTAATGCTGAATGAAGCATTGAGCACTCCATGTTCGCTGTTGCCTGCCTAAGCCATGTAGCCCCTGATGTTTATGTGATCAGAGCTGAAATGGTTGCCAAGTAAGTGTGGACTTAATCGTGCAATTGAAGACAAAAGGTTAACCATTTAACTGTGGACTTAATCATGCGATTCAGAACTGTGGAATTAAAACCATTTTTACACTGTTACTTGGCAACCATTTCAGCTACTGTGGACTTAATCATGCAATTCAGTATTTCAGAAGATGCTTATAAATTTTGGTTGGCCTTTCTGGTCAAAATATGTGCTTGCTATTCGGGATTGTGCACTTTCTTTCTATAGTAGCTTCTGTACTACTCTGCATCTTGTGCTCCTCTTTATTGCTTTACTGGAGAGAGTTGGCATTTACCTTTCTTTTACATTGAATACTGACTATATCCTCATAATGTTTTATATTTTCTCAACATATAGTTAAAACACAACAGCCTTTTTTGCCATCTTTCTGCTGTCGTTAAACTTTTAACCATGATTGGTAATTCATTGTTGTACGGCAAAGCGTGAGCTTTTATCTGGTTATTCTGTTCTTTTGTAATTGTAGAATTTCATACCAATGGTGTATCTGGGCTGCTAGTTTTAATGCTAATTTATGCTAATGTGATTTCATTTCTTGTGTGCAGAAATACCTGGGGATACAAATATTTAGGTTTTACTTCAAGTGTACGAAATGTTCAGCTGAGATAACTTTCAAAACGGACCCTCAGAATTCTGATTACACGGTGGAATCTGGGGCTAGTCGCAATTTTGAACCTTGGCGTGAAGAAGATGAGGTGGGTGATCCAGGGCATATCTTAGGCACATCTTATTTGTTTCGACTAATATTATATTGAAAGTGACAATGACGATGTATATTCCTTTTTTCAGGTAGCAGACAGAGAAAAGAGGAAACGAGATGAAGAGGAGATGGGTGATGCAATGAGAGCATTGGAGAATAGAGCAATGGATTCAAAGCAGGACATGGATATACTTGCTGCTTTAGAAGAGATGCGATCCATGAAGGTAGAATATGGTCTATGGGCATCTGTTCTTTTTTCTGTAAATAAAAATTGAAATAAGTCGGACTTAGTGTGCTGACATTGTTTTCTTGTGCCTTTTGCAGTCTAGACATGCTGGAGTCACAGTTGACCAGATGCTTGAAATTTTGAAGCGCTCTGCTCATGATAAGGTAAGATCTCAAAATAATTCTTTTGCTTTTGTTTAATGAATGAACAAGTCATTGTAGCCCCTAAACTATCTCAAGAATCAATCCTCAACTATGAAACTGTCCAGCATTCACCCTCTAACTCCTAAAACTAGACTAAATAACCCCATAACTCTGGTTTTAGTGGTGGCTTTTGCCATGAGGTACTAGATGCTTGCTGTTGGTGCCATTATGAACCTCCACCTCAGCATTACTCTTCATGTACATGAAAACATGATATAACCCAGCAAAATCTTCTCAACTTTCTTCGCTATACCTGCTTCTTGTGGTCGTTTCTGGAAGCAGTAGCAAACTTGATGTTACTACTCAGTAGGAAACCTTGGGTTTTAGGTGTTGGGAGTCGAGGATCTGGCCTTGTGGCCTTGTTGCTGCTAGGATGTAGAGCGATGGTGAAGGATCAGGGGCAGCGGTGACAGCTAGACCTGTGGATTAGGAGGCCATATCAACGGGTGAGGTGTTGGTGTTGGTTGGCTACCTCTTCTGTCATAGATGTTTATGATCTGCATGACCCAGCAAAAGGGAGCAATGTAGCTTTGATCTGAACCGCTAAAATAAAAATCATGAATTGTCTTGTTATTAATTGGATGGTGGATTTAATCTGCACTTGGTGAAAAGAGTCAGGAATCTCCATGCGAATAAATTGAATTGGAACTAGCCAGATTTGGAAAACAGTACATAGATGATAGAATTGACCTTGACGATTGAGCTGATATGCTTGCCCTGCAACCGTATGATATTCATGGTAATTTACCTGCTGGGATGCTTGTGCTCCCACAACCATGTACACCTTGTACTTTACCTTCTGCCCAGCAGCTTGCACTCTGCTCACCGGGGTTTCAACATGCTGTGTTAGCAGCATTGGGACTAGTAGGTTTGTCATGTCAGTGTGATGTAAAGGTGATGGTTGCTTGAAGCTGTTTTGTTAGACAGGCAAAGGACAGCGTGAAGATAAGAGAGTAGAAAGAAGCAGCACAGGGTGACTTTTTTTCCTGTTATTATTTAATTATTTAACTTAGATATGTTTTCCACCACATAGATGCCATGTCAGCATGATACCAGGTACTCCCTCCGTTTCACAATGTAAGTCATTCTAGCATATCCCACATTCATATTGATGTTAATAAATCTAGGCATATATATTTATCTAGATTCATTAACATCAATATGAATATAGGAAATGCTAGAATGACTTACATCGTGAAACGGAGGAAGTAGTATGGAGTGGTGGGCTATCACTCCCGTTCTGTTTTGAAGGGTGAACTTTAAACAATTCTGTTGTTGAGGGTGAAAACAGACCTTTTCCTTTAAAAAATGTTTGACATAGGATAGTTCAAGAGGGAGAAAACATAACTTTTCCTTTAAAAAATGTTTGACATAGGACTTTTCATCTTTTTGGTAATATTTATGATAGCTTCCTTACAAGCATGGGTGGCCATGGTGTGTAATCTGCCTGCTTAAATCTCGCATTGTTTTTCTAACGGTGATAATTTTGGGCAATGACAGGAGGAGAAAACAGTAGCTGAGCTAGATGAAGAAGATGAAAAACTTATCAAATCAATCACTTTTCGAGTAATCCTCTACCTCAACTTACATACATCCCTGCATGTGCAAAACTGTGTAGAGAGAGAAGTTACTTCGTACAAATTATAAGGCATTTTTTTAACTTGTGATCCTATTATTTAATGCAGAACTCCCAAGATTATGTAAAACGGATAGAGGATGATGATGACGATGATGAAGATTTGGTGATACCGGGCCAGTCGAGTAGCACATCAAAGGTACTTAGCACTCCTGTTTGATCTTGTAGGCTCCATATTCTTAACCTCCAGTTACAGTAAAAATCATTGGACATTAGCTGGCATTCACATATTACCAAACTAGCCCTGGCAGATCCATTAGGTACTAAAGCTTGCTAAGCTTTTATTTCCATCCCCCTTTGTCATTTAAACTGTAAAGTATTCAGCTTTTTCTTAATAGACGTATTGGATTTCTTAAATAGATAATACCTGCACTTTGAGCACTGAAGCTTTGTTCTGGTTGGAAAATTTTTTAGCATATATTTTTAGTTATTAGATTTAATGAACAGTTGGAGCTAGGGTAGAAGGCCATTTGAACATAAGTCCAATGATAATGGTAAATTTTGGTCACCAAGCAGCAGTATTATGCAAATTGGTAGCAAACATTGGCATAGTCATTTAAAACTATTATTTTTTAAAACTTAATTTAAAACTATTGTTTTGGAGTAGACATTGTTGTAGCATTTTCAGAATTGCTTGTGTCAGTCTCAAGAGTTTACTGGTCAATTTTCTATGCTAATGTAGAGTTATTTTCTTATGCTTCCATTTGATGTCTCTTGAATTTATTTGCTTTGTTGACTAACAGTTCTATTGTTCTGTAGATGAATGGATCCTCCCAGTCAGTATCAAATGCAACAGATGTCCTGACCAAGACTAGTGGATCTGATAATGCCAATAAAGAAGGTAAAAACTAAGCAGCATATTTGTTTTTATCATGATTATCGTTATCCTGAATTCAAAGTGTTACATTTTTTCCCCGCAATTTGGCAGGGATCGTGTGTTATTCCCTTTTCTTGATTAAGCAGCGTTCTATTTTGGAAACAAATGGGCTGCCCGTGTTCTTTATCTAGTTATTACCGCGTGTTACTTACCATTAAATATGCACTGCAGGAAATAAGATCTGGCCATCTAAGATGCCAAAATTTATAGTCAAGCCAAAGTCTACCCCTACAGATCCTATCAAGAAACAGAAGACGGAAACCACGGCTGGCCCGGATACTGGCAAAGCGCCAGTCGCAGAAGAAAATAGTGAGCCTGCGCAGAACAATGTCCTCCAATCCCTCTGCCAAAACTACGATAGCGATGAAAGTGAGTGATGACTGCGTGGCTGCTTCGTGCCGTAAGCCCGTAACAACCGTAACCGCGAATCGCCACCAACTGCTGTGGCATTGGTTGCAGCGGATGACAATTCCACTCACAGAAGAAGAATATTACGTTGTGCTAACATTGGATAACCAGATCCCTGAGGATCTATTGTTGCCACAAATCTGAATCCCGGGAATTCATTGGTTAAGTATATACAGTACTTCAAAATCTGTGGCTGCTAACATTGTCCAGGCGAGATTTATACGTGTGTGGTTTGTTGCTGAATGCCTGAAGAGATCAAAAGTCTTGTAAAATTGACAGGGAAGATGTTTGTTGACGTTGGGTTCTTGCACCAATCCTTCATTTCTACGCCTAGCTTATACACAACACAAATTTGACCATGTTTAGTAATTCTCTCCCAAATGGATTCTCCTTAAATCCCCTTCAAAATCTAAGCTGTACATGAAATGCAATTCCATTCTTATTTTATCTCGGTTTCCGTTAGCACTTTTTCAAACTACTAAAGGCTATCTGTGTAAAAACATTTCATATAAAAGTTGCTTTAAAATATCAAATAAATCACGTGTTAATAGTTTTTCGTTTTTCGTGTGTCAATTTAATCCTCATCCTCATGAAACTCAATTATCATCTCTACTGCTCTCATCTCAGAACAATAAACTGGAAGTACAACTGAACTCCCATGACCCCCTCAATGGAAGATCTTAACTAACTACTCTTAACTATAGTGAAAATCGCCGTGCGTACAAACGAGGAAAGGAAGGAAATCCAGTTGGGTCTCCAATCTCACGCACGCGGCCACCACCAGAAGACTACGCACAGCCGCCGCCGCCGGGACGCCACCACGCTCCCCGAGGCTGATCCATCCATGGAGGAAAGGCCCGTCTCCCACCGGAGTAGTTGCACGGTCACCGACGCCGACGAGGATGACCTCCCGACGCAGTGGAACAAGTGGCGCCGCGCAGCCGCCCTGTCTCGGAGGACCCGGCGCGCGCCCCGCGTCGCCGTGCCGGCCAGCCCGACCTGCGCCTGCGGCGGCCGCATGCGCAGGGTCCCCAAGCCCAGGCCCATGCCCACCGCCGTGGACGAGCGCGCCGACGGTGCCTGCGGCGGTCTCGCCCCCGTGCTGCCTCCGGCGGCGGCGGCGGCGTGGTATCCGTATGATCTCATGTGCACGGAGTGCGACGGCGAGACCGGCTGGCGCCGGCGGAAGCCGGCGTGCTGGGCGGCGGATTGGAAAGCCGCGCGGCCGCGGCAGCGATGGCGGCCATATCCTTCCTTCGCCGACGTGGCCGCTGCCCTCGGCGATCTGCGGCTCGGCGCCGGCGACGACGATGATCATTCCGGTGACGTTGATATGATCTCTTGTTCGTTTCAAAAATAGTGTGATCATCTCTTAGGGCCGAAATTTCAGTGTCACTTGTACCGTAGTACTACTATTCTATATGTGATCATATAATTTCATAGTAGAAAAAAAGCTACTAATTTAGTTGTCCTAAACTATGAAATATCAATTCTTCTCCCCTGTCTAATTCTTTAGTCGTCTATCGACAATTGTTCGTTTCACTCCAGTTATTAGGCAAAATAAATACATATAGGTTCAAATTATTGTGCCAATCTTCCTAACTAAAATCGGTTCTATATTGATACGTTATACGATCCACCATTCCCCAAAAAGAGAGAAAAAAGGAACATAGATACTGAAAAGAAAAAGAAGATATCAAGAACATCTTAATTTCCTTTCAGATGATCTGTTGCACGCTTTCCTTCCACCTGGCTTCCTGGCTTGAATCTTGTACAAATACTAGGTAAGTACTTATTTGCATATTTCATGACTTGACAGCATCTAATCAGTCTCTGCTAAGCTCATTGCTGTGTTGATGCTGAAAACTCATTACAGCGAAATTGAAAACATATTATGATTCTTCAAGAATGGAAAAAAAGGGATCAAGGATGAATCTAAGCTACAGTCTGATTAGAAGGTAGGAATGATAAGAGTAGTGCTGACCTGCAGAGAATGTCACCCGTTCGTGTGGTTTTCCCATAGATCCAATCTGGGATGAGTTCTTGTCGCAACCTCAACTGTTCTTTTATCTCACCTGGAACCTTATCGATTTAGGATCAGATTGCAGTATCCGGATATGTATAAAATGATGAGCATGTGTTATAAAATGGGCACCGGTAAACAGTGTCTCATGCTCTGTTAAGTATGGGCTTGAAAGAATTGCAGTTGAAAGAATCATTTTAGGGCCTTTTTTTTTTGCCTACTCTATTTTCTTGATCGCTAGGAATGAATTCAGAGGATATCATTCGAGGTACATACATCTATCCACTATTTTAGGGTTACTTGTAATTATCTTGTAAATGAGCTCTTGTTTTGTCATTACAGTTTGTTCCCTTGAGCCCTTGACTGAAAGATCAGAAAGATAGTGTCAAAAGTGCCAGGCAAGCACGCGATCAGCTTTTGTCTTCTAAAGGTATCTGCAAAACCTGTTTCCTTTTCCTCCAAACCTCTCTTCTCCTTCTGCTTTATCTGCAAAGAGAGAGAATATCAGGTTCGGATGCCATATGTAGAGAAGCGAAACGGAATTTCAGTAACAAGCGAGCCCGAATCTGAAAGAAAATGATAAACACAGTATCTTTGTGAGTTACCCTGCTCTATTTCAACAAAAAAAAAAAAAACTGTCCATTTTATTTTGTAATCAAGTAACCAACTACATCTTCATAGAGGGTAGTATAAATAGAGATATATATATATATAGCAGAAACCATGATCAATACATGTTGTAGGATAGGATCCATCAAACAGATGCTCATAATTCTGTTCGTAAATTATGCAAAGCATAGTGTACTGATATAACTTTGCTTACCCACACATTGAAGTTTGAACATCGATCCTCTTGTTCTACTATTCAATAAAAAAAAGCGTGAATATTAGGGAAGTATCTAATACTCCCTCCATCCCAAAATGTTTGACGCCGTTGACTTTTTTAAAAATGTTTGACCGTTCGTCTTATTCAAAAAATTTAAGTAATTATTAATTCTTTTTTTATCATTTGATTTATTGTTAAATATACTTTTATGTATATATATAGTTTTACATATTTCACAAAAGTTTTTGAATAAGACGAACGGTTAAACATGTTTAAAAAAGTCAACGGTGTCAAACATTTAGGGAAGGAGGGAGTATCAAATAATTAGAAGGGTGAGGCTTCGAACCCATGTCGTCTAGCCCACTACCTTGTGGAGCTAGCCGGAAGACGCCTGGGCGTTTCTCGTTCTGCTATTCAATAAAACTACACGATCAGAACAGAAGCATTTTGTCTTATGTCACGAAGATTTGGAGAATCAAGGGATTAACATTGTTATGCTTGAAGCATGTTCCTCACATAAATGACAGTTCTTCTACTGGACTTATGCTAGATTAGTAAGTCTCTGCCCGTATGACTATGACGTGTGACTAATAGAACAAAGGTTGGAGATGCTACGGCATGAATGTGACATGGGAGTGTGCGTAGGAAGAGGTCAAAGATCACACTTTTCTGGCTTGGTCGCCGGCGTTGGTCGTCGCCATGGTTGAGCCCCCATCTTGCTCCTGCGAGGCTACCCCGCTGCTGCGGCTTCTCCGGTGTCGAGATCCGCTAAAACCACCTTCGTCGAGGACTACACATCCCCTGGCTTCCTCTCCGTCGCTGTGGTCCGCTCGGCCTACTAGGGTTGTGGCACAGTCCACGCTTCTAAGATGGATGACGGATAGTTTGGCGGGAAGAGCCGGCTTGGCGCGAGGCAACAGTTAAGGCTGCATTGTTTCAGTGCCAATCATGTGACCATGTACAGAAACGTATTGGAATTTCAGCCCAATCCAAAAGAAGCTGAATTTGGGAATAAGAAAAATAAATAAACATGATACTTTTGCGACCTAAATTTGTTTGATAACAAACTGTGGTTGTGAAAATAGAAGTAGTATAAGGCCGACCAGTGGCCAATATCATAACAGCCTCAATCGAGTAATTGATATGGTAGAACATGATCAATAAGCAATAATTGAGATATTGGTGGACACCAACTAGTTCAGCAGATATGAAAACCAAAGGTGCATCAAATTAATATATTTACCCAACGATCCATATATAGGAGAGAGGTCTAGTATGCGATGTTCTTAAGCAACTTTTATGGCTCTTTTTTTAAACATTTTGTATAATATATGATTACCCATAAATCCATACGAGAAATGCCTACATTATGATGTTCTTGTTCTTTTTAGATACATTTTGAATAGAATATGTTTACTCACGTAATATCCACAAGGGAGATGTCTATATGTTGAGATGTTCTTCACGTGATCTTTTAGATGCATTTTATATCGAGATGTTCTTCACTTGATCTTTTAGATACGTTTCAAATAGAATATGCTCACATAATATCCATAGGCCAGGGAGATGCCTATACATCAAGAGATGTTCTTAAGGGCATGTTGTTCATCTTGTAAGAGGATCAAACTAACTAAAGAAAGAAAGTATAAAGGAGCAAACTAACTAAAGAAAGTATAAAGTGGTAATAATGTTTTTGTTATATTATTTTGCCAAGTGGGTTCCATTTAATCACCGACAACAATTGACTTGATAAAACAACTTCGATTTTTCGAATAATCAATCGAAGCAGCTCCTACACTGCTATCAAAGTAATACTACCTCTATCCCAAAATAAGTGTAGTTTTGCACTGTTCATGTCCAATGTTTGACCGTCCGTCTTATTTGAAAATTTTTTTTATGATTAGTATTTTTGTTATTATTAGATGATAAAACATGAATAGTATTTTGTGTGACTAATTTTTTCTTAAACTTTTCAAATAAGACAGACGGTCAAACGTTGGACACAGAAACCCACGGTTATACTTATTTTGGGACAATGGTAGTATAAATCAAGAGCATTTGTTCTAATTTAATTTGCATCCTCCCTAGAACAAGGTAACTTCTCGAAAACAACTGACAACAATGATACAACATGCATTCGTCCCAATAAATCTCATGTGGAGTAATACAAGCTTTTTAGTAATTTGGACATGACATTCATACAACAAGTTGTTGGAACCACCACCTTGTCGTGATGGTGACGGGGACAATTGATATCCAGTGATAAAAACTGTGAAGGCAGAAGGGAGCCGTCAGTTGAACCTTGTGAAAGATATATGATGGATGGATAGCATGTTGTTTAAGGGCACATTTATACTGTGATTACTCTCCTCAATACTGAGATGGCCCAATGAGATGTTGGAGAAAACTCTTTATCTCGGCGCTGTCTTGCGGACATTTTTAGGCTGAGAGTCATTTTTTTTCTAATTATGGCATCTTGAAAACCACTGTTGATTTCATCTGTTATATAAGGGAAGATCTTACTGTAATTGCTTCGTTTATCATTAGACATAGTTGTTGTTTTTAATGGAAAAACCGGGCCGAACTTCTAAAACTAAAAAGCAGCCCACCCGCTTCCATAGAACAATATCGCGGCAACGTATTGACTAAGATGAGCCAATTAGATGTTGGAGAAAACTATTTATCTCGGCGCTATCTTGCGGACATTTTAAGGCTGAGAGTCATTTTTTTTCTAATTATGGCATTTTGAAGAACCACTGTTGATTTCATCTGTTATGTAAGAGAAGATCTTACTGTAATTGCTTCGTTTATCATTAGACATAGTTGTTGTTTTTATTGACTAAGATGAGCCAATGAGATGTTGGAGAAAACTATTTATCTCGGCGCTGTCTTGCGCACATTTCAAGACTGAGAGTCATTTTTTTTTCTAATTATGGCATCTCGAAGAACCAATCTTGATTTCATCTGTGTGTTATATAAGGGAAGAGCTTACTGTAATTGCTTCGTTTATCATTAGACTTGTTTTTATTATCTCACTAGTCATTTAGCATCTAAATTTTGGTAATAACAAAAATAAACAATCATAAAAATATTCCTGTTTAAATTATGCTCAAGCAGGACCTATCAAACTAATTCCACGTAGAAGGGATTATTTAAAGATACAACCAATTGAAGATTGATGCCCGAATCAACCAAACAAAAGATAGATCTTGCCATAATTTTATTTGCTACTAAAATTTTAGCGTTGCATGAATTTTGGCAATGTCAACTCATGCAATGCTAAAATTTTGGCTATGCGTTTTTGTTGGGACACCTTGGGGTTTACTTGGCCCCAAACCAAATGAAGCCCCTTAACAATGCTATCAAAAATTTAGCAGCTGACTAAGTGCTCCAACTTTTATCAAAATTTTGAAAATATCTAATATTCGACGCACCCATATTTCAATAAGGTTCATATTGTTTGTAAACCCAAACTAATGTCTCAGAATTTTGGTAGAGTATGTCCATTTTATCTATTGCAAATGTTTTAGAGGTGTGTGGGTTTAGTTGGGTACTTTCGACAAAAAAAAAGGCTATCATGTGCTTCAATCTTGCTTCAAATACAAATTCAATTAAGCATGAAATTAATTGGTACTATGCATGTCGTTCGTACTACTGTGGAGGTTTTCTTCATTCTGGACCAAATCAGTGAATCCAGATGAAACAAATATGCTGCTCGGCAACCATACTGAAGCTGACATTTTCTCCGATCTTAAAATTGTTTTGTTATCATAGGAAGAACTGACACTTTTTTTTTTTGCTTCGCAGATATCAGCGACCCCATAGGTTTAATGTATTCCATCTTCTATAGGAGCTTCTCCTGTTCTCATTTCCTTTGCTTCAAACCTAGCTAGTCCCCACCCTTAAATCTTTCACATCACAGTAGTGGGCAAAAGTTCTGATAATTCACTGGTTTGTTGTGCATGATCCGACTTATTCTCATTTTCCATTAGGCAAGATAAGGATTTCACCCTCTCCAGCTATCCTCTAACGGCTCGTTTGGTTGGAGGGAGTTTTTAGAAGGGATTGGGAGTTTAGAGGGATGATGCTATTAAGTGTTTTGTTTGGTTGGGAGAGACATGAGAATTTTGATAGGATGAGGATGGAGAATTGAGGAAGGAACTCCCTCCTTTTCAATACCTGAGTAGGGGCAGGTAATTGGGAGGGAATTCCTCCTTTACTTTGTCTAAGCACATCTTAGTTATCCGTTTTTATTAATGACCTAATCTCCAACTAAACTCCCTATCAATTTCCATCACCCCAACTAAATAAGATATTGGGATTAAAAATCAAATTCTCATCTTAATCTCATCATAAATTCCCTTGTGTAAACTCCCAATCTCCTTCCCTCAAGTTACCAAACAAGCCGTAAGGATGAAATGGCGCTAGACATCAAACATGAGGACACTCCCAAGTTTACCACTTAATCAATCACAGTGTACAATATTATTGATAATTCTCATATAGTTATGTTTAAATTTAAAAATTACGTACATAATTCTCATCATATACTGTGTAAAAAGTTCTCATCATATAAACAAACCAAATTGGATGCTAGGGCGGCTAATCACATGATTAGTAGAACATTACAGGACAAACCTTCACATATTCTTCTAGAAGGTCCTCAAAGTCAAACACCCATAAACCACTAAATTCAGACATTCATTAGGGAGGAAATCAAGAGCATATCTTCTTAATTGTTCTGCACCCTCTCCGGAACAAGCTGACTTGTTCAAACGGTCATTAAGTTTCCTAAAAACAAATGATAGCAATGATACAATATATATCATGTAATACAAAGCTTGTTCCAGAAATTTTGAACATGAGATTCACACAGCCGGCTGTTTGAACCACCACATTGCTGTGATGATGATGATGATGGGATAATTGATATATAAGGCAGAGGGAAACCATCAGTTGAATGTTGTGAAAGATGGATGGCTACCATGTTGTTTAGGGACACGTTTATGCTGTGATTCTGTGATTACTCTCCTCAACATGTATACCACGATGTCAATAAATAAATAGGGACCTGAAGTGGTAAAGAGTGATACCGCTTGCTTTCCTTTCATGGGCTGTATGTGTGGGTATATAGCTGATAGAGTGAGATAAATGAGAAAAGTAAGGTGGTGAGATGCAAGAGAATATTTAGAATCTTTTTTTTAGATAATGGAAGCTTTATTAATCTCAGTAAAACTCTATCAAGTGATACAATTATTCTGAGAGCACCTCCGGCTTTGCACCCAAAGAGTGCACACAGCCAACAAGAAAGAAACAAAAGATAAACTCATCATCCAAATAGCAGGGACAAAAAGAACTTCAGGAGCCCTCTAACCGTAGCCTAGAACGCCACCCATGCGCCGGGGTAGAAAACTCCATGGCCACTAGCTCCAATTATTGACAAGCCGCAATGATAGTACCCCGCAAATTGACCTTCTGAAGGATAGCCCATGAAAGATAACCTACAAAGAAGAAGATATGTTTTTCCTTTCAAAAACCACATCATTTCTGCAAAGCCAAATAGACCAAATAGTGGTAGTTGCCCCTAATAAGACCAAAGATCTCAAATTGCGTGGTTGTCTTCTTATCCAATGCCCAAACATATGAGTTGTACTATTAGGCAAACTAATATTCGAAGCAAACTGGATTAAAGACCAAACTGCACGGGCAAAACGACAATCAAAGAACAAATGATTAATAGTTTCATCTTTGTGGCAGAAAGAACAAGACTTGTTTCCTCTCCAATTCCTTTTAATAAGATTATCTTTTGTTAAGACTACTCCACGATGTAAGTACCATAAGATCTTAATCTTTAGGGGGACTTTGATTTTCCAGATTCTTTTGTTTATATTGGGAACATCGGTCTGTACCAACGCAAGATAAAGAGATTTAACCGAGAATCTGCCATCAGTTGTTAGATTCCATTTAAACTCATCTTGGTCGTGAGATAATATAATATTAGCGATGCGTGAGAGAAGGTGATTCCACACCACTAACTTAGAGCCAGTAAGGTCCCTGCGCCAAGAAAAGCTTAGAGGACTGGTTTGGAAAATTTCTGAAATAGTTGCATGTTTATGCCTAGCAACGTTATAGAGACAAGGATATTGTTCTCTTAAACAGGCATTCCCCAACCATTTATCTTCCCAAAACCGTACTTGAGAGCCATCTTTGATGTTGAAGGAGCCAAACCCGAGAAAATCAGGCTTGGCCTTCATTAGACTAGCCCAAAAGTGTGAGTCTTCTGCTTTCCACTGAGCTTGAGACAAAGGCTGTGACCCCAAATATTTGTTCCTTAGCATTTGTTGCCACACACCATCTGTAGTGAGTAGTTTATGCAACCACTTGCTAAGGAGAGCCTTGTTCTTAATTTCAAGATCTTGAATTCCCAACCCCTCCTTGGTCTTTAGGACGACATATGATGTCCCACCTTGCTAGTCTATATTTCCTTTTGTGTCCATCCCCTTGCCAAAAGAACCTTGATCGGAAATAATCAATCTTCTTGATCGCTCCTTTAGGTATTTCCAAAAAGGACATTATATACATTGGTAGGCTGGTAAGCACTGAATTGATTAGTGTTAGTCGCCCTCCAAGTGATAAAAGTTTGCCTTTCCAACTTGCCAACCGTTTTTCAAGCCGCTCAATCACTTCCTTCCACTCCGAATTACGAGGTCTCCTATGATGTATAGGAATGCCAAGGTAACAGAATGGAAAAGAACCAACCTCACATTGAAAAAGGTTAGTATATTGATCCTGAGCTGTTTGGGCTTCACCAAAGCAGTAAAGCTCGCTCTTATGAAAATTAATCTTTAAGCCAGATAATTCTTCGAAAACGTTCAACAACATTTTCAGATTACAAGCTTTCTCTAGATCATGTTCCATAAAGAGTACAATATCATCAGCGTATTGGAGGATGGACAATCCACCATCAATGAGATGAGGCACCACTCCAACAAGCTGTCTTGCATTATTTGCTCTCTGGATCATAACCGCTAGCATGTTCGCTATAATATTGAATAAAATGGGAGATAGCGGGTCACCTTGTTGAAGGCCTTTCTTTGTTTGAAAGAACCGTCCAACGTCATCATTAACTTTGATTGCTACACTTCCTCCCGAAATGAAGGACTCAATCCAAGAAATCCATCTTGGCGAGAAACCTTTCATACGAAGAGTTTGTAGTAGGAAAGGCCATTTTACTTTGTCATAAGCCTTCTCAAAGTCAATCTTAAGGATGACCCCACTCAATTTCGATGCAACTTATGAACAGTTTCATGTATGACGACAACCCCATCTAGGATGTTGCGACCTCTCATGAAAGCTGTTTGAGTTAAGACTCACTATACGGTCAGCCACCGAGTTTATTCTATTAGTGACCACCTTAGTGAAAATTTTGAAGCTAGCATTTAGGAGGCAAATTGGTCTGTATTGTTGGATACGGTTAGCTTCCTTGACTTTGGGTATCAAAGTGATCACCCCAAAGTGTATTTAGAATCTTTTAAAAAATGGTAGGATCAATATGTTGACACACTACTCTTGTGTATGTATTATGGAGAACCTATGTTTTGATTAGTCGTACTATCTTTCTAACGTGTGAGAATCATACCTATTTCATTATGCAATTTCTTTCTCTTCTAACTAGGGAAGAGAAGGGATTGTTGTAACTTAATCGGTATGGGGAGAGTGTTCTTATTGTTTCATTTACTATTAAGTATTATTGTTGGTTTTCTCATCTCATCTACTTCATTGTGTGAAATTATTGTAATTGTAGAATAAGAGAATCACACAACAATAAACTTTTCTAAACATTGTGCACATTCCACCCAAATTTTGAAATTAAAACACAAGTGTATGGGTTTATTCGAATTGGTGCCCAAACCAACCACAAAAACTTTGTTAACACCGATAAATTTGGCCATTTTCTTCACTACCAAAATTTTGATTGTTCCAACTTATACAAAGCTACAATTTTGGCTATGGATTTTGGTTGGGAGTCCATTTGGTTTCAAACCGTATGATAGCCCTTAACCCCCCTTAACAACAGCACTAAGAAAAATTGGCAGAAAAACAATTGTTCCAACCCTCATCAAAATTTTGAAAATGTCCCAGATTTGGAATGCAGATATTTTGCGGCCTCAGTTAGGTATGTTTGCCCACGCCCCACCCAAAAAAAAATGGTAATGACATATTTTAATAAACCAAATTTATCGCTGGTGAGATTAGTGCTACTTGAATTTTCTTTTCCCAGGTTAGGAGTGCTGGGATTTTATTCACAATGGTAAGTTTGGTAACATCTTCCATCAAGATTTTAGAACTTTTTAGGGGGTTTTAATGTTTTTCTGTCTTAATTTGGAGAGAAACAAGTCTAATGGGCCAGAAAGCCCAATGCCCTAGCAAGGCCCACACGTGGCGCCTCCTCCTCCTCGTCTCCTTCCGGCGAAAGCCCAAACCCTTCTCTCTCCTCCCCGCGCCGCCGTCGAGATGTTTCGGAGCCCGGCCGCCGCCGCCGCCTCCGCCCTCCTCCGCCGCCTAGGCCCCCGCGTATCCGGCGGTGGAGGCGGCGCTTCCACTCACCGGCGATTCGCGCCTCCGGTATCCACCTCCATCCTCTCCCGCTACTCCTCCGCGCCGACGTCCTCCCCTTCGCCGCCGCCACCGCCACCCCCACCGCCCTCCGACGCCGCGGCGGATGGGGATAACCGAGCGGAATCGGGGGAACCCGGCTCCAGTCTCAGCATCACCATCGACCGCTCCGGCCTGTACAATCCCCCAGGTCCAAACCCTTCCTCTCTCGCGCGCGCGCTCGCACGGACGCAACGGCGGTGTCTGGATTTAGGGTTTTCTCATGGTTTGCGTCGGGTTTATGCCGCAGAGCACTCGCACGAGCCGTCGTCGGATTCCGAGCTAGTGAAGCACCTCAAGAGCATCATAAAGGTGTCCGCTGTTTATAATGAGCCTCTTCGTGATAATCTCTACTGTTTGCCAATGCGGAAAATGTGATTTGGTGTTGTGAAAATTGTGATTCGGAGGTTAGTTCCGCAGCGGGCCTATCAGCGTAGCCGAGTACATGGAGGAGGTGCTGACGAACCCGCAGTCAGGGTTCTACATCAACCGCGACGTGTTCGGGACATCCGGGGATTTCATCACCTCGCCGGAGGTCAGCCAAATGTTTGGAGAGGTAAATTTGTATTGTTGAAGTAATAATTACCATGCCTCTGCATATCATTTTTCTTTCGCCCTGTAGGGTTATTAGAATAGGGAATGACCGAATGATGGCACTCAGGTTCAAAGCAATTCTTCTTGTGAAGATTATAGGACAATTAATTCATGTGTTCGTGCTATGGGGTGCTAGATGAGAGCAATTAATGATGTTTCTTTTCCTCAGATGACTGGTGTGTGGGCAATGTGCCTCTGGGAGCAAATGGGGCAGCCAGAGAAAGTCAATCTGATTGAGCTTGGTCCAGGGCGCGGAACTCTCTTGGCAGATTTACTTCGTGTAATGCATTTCTGCTTGCATCTATCCTATTTTGAACTTTCCCGATTTGTGTCTTTGACTGATGCATCCATTGGAACAGGGGTCATCAAAATTTGTTAATTTCACCAAAGCACTCAACATTAACTTGGTAGAATGTAGCCCCACGTTACAAAAGGTGCAATACAATACTCTGAAATGTGAAGATGAGCCCATTGGCGATAAAACAAGGACAGTTAGCAAGCTTTGTGGAGCCCCTGTACACTGGCATGCTTCCCTTGAACAGGTTCCTTCAGGATGTATGGAGTTCTTTCATTGATAACTTTGCTTCTAATGAACATTAACTATTGTTGAAGGCTCATAAGCACTTGTATTATCAACTTTCACACTTGGTAAAATTTGTTTTTGTACTGAAAATAAGTGCAATTTCAGTTTTGATACCCAAAGAATGGCATTTTGTTTTGTCCTTTCTATTCAAAGGTCCATTTTGTTTTTGCCGCTGCAGTTACCATTCATCAGTTTGGCAGCACTGATTTGGCATGCATTGTTAAGTACAGTAGGGAAAGCTTTAAGGACATTAGCTATATAAGATAAGGGGAAACATTATGTTTTTTATTTTATTATGGTACCGAATGTGCCATCGTGTATAATTGAGTACTACCTCCGTTTCAGTTTATAAGACTTTCTAGCATTGCTCACATTCATATAGATGTTAATGAATCTAAGCACACATATATGTCTAGATTCATTAACATATATATGAATATGGACAATGCTAGAAAGTCTTATAATATGAAACGGAGGAAGTAACAGATTGGGTTTAGTTAATCTGCGGTTCAACTCTTGTGGCGAGGAGCCAAAAGAATTGAATGTGCCAATGGACTGTAATTTTTCTAATTAGTTGTATCATCTCCTTGCACATATGTTACCATTTCATATTTGGTAATTTAGTTGTTTTTGCATGTGTAAAGTGTATAGTGTTCTCGTGATATATGCTCATTTTTAGTATTAGATTGTAAATATTTTCTCGTAAGTGTCATGGTTGACTTTGAAACTGGTTGCCGCCTTTATCTAGTTCTCTTTTTCGTCAAGCTATTTTCTTTTTGACATCTTGATCAGATTTCTTATGCTTGTTCTGTTTGTATATGTATTCTCTGCAGTGCCAACTATAATTATTGCACATGAATTCTATGATGCCTTGCCAATTCATCAATTTCAGGTCTGGTTACACCAGCAATTCCACCTCTTAATGTTTTGTGACACAAACAGATTGAATATTGTTCATGCATTCCACTGAACCGTCCTTTTTCTTCTCTTCAGAAAGCATCACGTGGCTGGTGCGAGAAGATGGTGGATCTTGCAGAAGACTCATCGTAGGATTTACAAATTTTATTTTTAAGTGGTTAACCTTATGGAGATGTGTAATTCTAACTTTGTAGCAGGTTTCGCTTTGTTCTATCTCCACAGCCTACAGCCTCTTTACTTTTCCTTTCCAAGCGGTGCGGTTGGGCTAGTTCTGAGGAACTTGAGAAAGTTGAGCATATTGAAGTCTGCCCGAAAGCAATGGAGATCACTGAACAGATTGCAGATAGAATTAGCTCGGATGGAGGGGGTGCACTTATCATTGACTACGGAAAAGATGGAATAGTCTCTGATAGTCTTCAGGTTTGGATATTAAATTTGTTTTACTGCACAATATGAACCCATGGCTCTGTCCAATCCTGGTCTAATGCCTCTATAACATTAAATTTATGTCCTAGATCCATATGCTTCTGTAGTCTGTAACAATGGCTAGTGTTTGAACCTAAATTCATGTCCTGCATTTCTGCATTATTTGGATTTTGATTTTTGTGCTCACACTGAGCTTTTGCTGTATATTTTTATGTAAGAAATAATTTAATTAATTTCTTTGGCACTAACAATACTATAATTTATGCAGGCAATCCGCAAGCACAAGTTTGTACACATATTGGATAACCCTGGTTCAGCCGATCTGAGTGCTTATGTTGATTTTGCATCAATCAGACACTCCGCTAAGGAAGCTTCAGGTTTGCACAGATATCTTAAATCCTTTCTGCTTGTTTTTCTCATGTCCAGACAAACATTTCTTACTAGGTCTGTCTTGAACTTTCTGCAGATGATATTTCTGTTCATGGGCCAATGACTCAATCCCAGTTCTTGGGCTCTCTTGGTATAAACTTCCGTGTGGAAGCCCTGCTCCAAAACTGTGCTACTGATGAGCAGGCCGAGTCTCTGAGGACAGGCTACTGGCGTCTTGTCGGAGATGGTGAAGCCCCATTCTGGGAAGGTCCTGACGACCAAACCCCAATTGGCATGGGTACTAGGTACTTGGCCATGGCCATTGTCAACAAGAAGCAAGGCACACCCGTTCCATTCGAGTAAAAGAAATACTGGAACCGTTTCTCCTCTCCTCAGGTAAAATAACATCACTGCCGTGTAACTCTTATGCTGCTGATGAATTCTGCCGGCGGGCAGTCCAGATAGATAAGGACGATTCTTGTCAACCTTTTCTAATGCACACCATACATGGACTCGTTCAGATGCGTGCTGTTTTTTTTATAAGAAGTGTGTACTGCTTTGTACTTGCTGCACGGAAAGAATTGGTCGGTTTGACATTCCTGTTACTACATAGGTTTCTTCGTGCAAGATGGGATAGTGGTTGTATCAAAGTTTCTGGTACAATTCCTGAATTTCTACTAGTGTTCAACCTTGAGATACAAGTTATGCACATTGTTTAGCTGCGGAGTCAGCTGTTTAGACCTTGAGATGTCATGCATTACGCATTTGTGCCTCTGTTTGGTATATGTGTTCCAGTTCACTGCTTCTAAAGTCTAAAGAGGCTATAGATTAGTATTTAAAACCGGTTTACCCGTTTCAAAAGCATGCTTATCTTATGTCATTCGTGCAAAGCCTTGTATGATTGTATCCTTGTATGCCACCAATCAGTTGAAGTCAAATATGTATTTGTTCGGTACAATTATTCCAAGTCACTGCATTTTTCCCCCAGTCAAGTTACTACTATAATACTCTTTAGTACCTTCTTCCACGCCAACAAAGCATGCAATTTGACATCCTAACACCAAAGCCCCGGCAAAATAATAGGGTAATTAACAGTCTCCATTAGACTTTGACAAGCCTCTTGTTTGTTCTACCAAATCAATCACTGCCAACATCTTCAGACATATTGATCCCTTCAAAAGCTCAGAGTTGGAACCAACAGCAGTCCACCGTCAGAATCCATCGAAGAGGTCGGTAAAAGAAGTTTTAGAGATGGACACGGTTATTAAAAAAGTAGGTAGAAGTGAATGATGAAAGGTTGTGATTGGATGAGTAGTGGAGATAGGTGGAAAAGGTGGATGGCGCAGGGTTGTAATTGGTTGGGAAGAGATTGTTGGTTAAGAAATTATTATATTTTGGGACAAATCCTGAAGGCTAAAAGTAGTTATATTTTGGGACGGATGGAGTAATTAGTAAAAAAGAAAAAAAAAGGTTGGCAGAAAAGCGACTCTCCAATTATTGGCTTGGCATGAAACGATATGGCAGATGGAAGAAAAGAAAGAAGAAGAAGAAGAATAGGCAGAAAAACAAAACGGAAAAGTTGCAAACTGAAAACGGCCTTAATCGTGTTTACTAGTATTATATGGTGGACGTGATGACTTTGGATGGACACGAGAGTCGCCGTCTCCATCACCGGTGCGATGAGTGTCGCCGGAAAACTACATTGTTTCCATTCACATGCTATGACGGGTAGTAGGGTAGGATCGACGAAAATTGGTGCCGCAAAACAACCGTGAGTAATCCAACCAGTGTGGCAGGCAATCCCCCCTCTTGCTGTGGATATCGTATCATTATCCCGGAATTTAAGTATCTGTATAAATTGAAAGGGTATGTAGTGGCTTGATCCTTGTCGACGTGATCTGATCCTATTATCCCTAAAATAGAGCCTCACCGGTTAGCCTAATAATACAAAGAAAAAGCTAAAATTTAAATTTTCAAACTTGATTTTGATCTTGATTTTGAGATGTTTTCAATGTGATATTTTTTTTTACCTTTTAATATATTTTCAATGTAATTTTTTTAGCCTTGGCTTTTAAGTCACTATAACGGATATATAAAAGTTTTACTTATAAATTAATTTTTATTCTCTAATAAGACGTTCTAACTTAATAGGGAATATGATCAACCGATGAGACACTATTGTTTTATAGGAGCGTAAGACTAGTTGCCCTGATCATATATGCATACGACTTGATTTTGATCGTGCGATCCCTCGAGTACCCTGATGGGAGCATGGGACCATTCAACACAATCCTATATGAATATCTGATCGAAACATATTCAGTAGTACTTAACACCTACAATTTCAAAAATAATAAATATACAAACAGCGCTAGACTAAACTACAGCCTTGTAAGGCTATAATTATAAAAGAACACATACACACGGTCACGTGCCGATAATGCCTTCGCATACCACTGAGAGAGAAATTAGCAATGGGCCGATCACATGACCTTCAGCCACCAAACCTACAAATTGTTCCAATAAGGATATAGAATATCGAGTCACCAAGATTCTACGCATAGTACCAATGAGGATACAGAGGATCAAGTCATCAAGATTCTACATATACACTACGCGTCCTCCTGTAAATCCTTAAAAATAGATCAATAAGAACATATGATGAATCGATATGTACGCGGTTCAACTATATCCACTACTTAACACTAGTAATAAAGTAGTAGTAAACTAGTGCTGAAATTTACACACTAGTTAACTATTAGAGCATAATGGTGAGTTATATGTCAACTATAAACTTACGTGAAAAAGAGAGAGAGAGAGAAAAACGAGACGTGTTACTCTTGCAAGAGTTCGCTCTACGCATGCTCCAAAATATTTATATTAAATTTAGGAGAGAAAAAAAAATAAAGCCAACCGTACCCTATAGTTAAGATATTATACTCCCTCCATTTCAAAATATTTGACTACGTTGACTTTTTAGCACATGTTTGACCGTTCGTCTTATTCAAAAAATTTAAGTAATTATTAATTCTTTTACTATCATTTGATTATCATTTGATTCATTGTTAAATATATTTTATGTATGCATATAATTTTATATATTTCACAAAAGTTTTTAAATAAGACGAACGGTCAAACATGTGCTAAAAAGTCAACGGTGTCAAACATTTTGAAACGGAGGGAGTATATGTTAGCTCTAACACTCTCCCAATTCAGTACTAGAATCAAACATCAACCAAAGACCAAAAAGTTGGATTTTCAGAAGAAGAAAAATAAAAGGTCCCACAAGTGAAAACCTATCACAAAGTCATCACCATCTCCTTTTTCTTTATATATAAATCACAAGTCATCACCATCTTTGCCCTGCATTTCCTCAGGCCAGGGAACACCAGAATTCCAATGTCAACCTCCCCCCTTTGGAATTGGAATCAAACGCAGGAACCAAACCAACCAACAAACCAACCAACCTAACCAACCGAAAGGGCAGGAGCAACGGCACGTCCAAATCCGGTGACCCAATTCGTCGCCCCGGCGAGCCCCACCGGCTGCCTCCCTGTCCCTTGCCGACAACCGGCGACGGCACGTCCCATCGCTGCCGACGGCGACGCCGGCCGGCCAGCCGGAAAGCCCGGACCCGGACCACCTTTTCCATCAGCAATAGATGAGACACATTTCTTCAGTTAGTCAAACATGGTTCAGACTTTCAGAGATTCTTTTCTTTTAGAGACGAATCATCAAATCATTTCCAGGAATCAGTTCTGAATCCGAATCCATCCATCCACACGTGCATGATCAATTTCAGTGCAGAATCGGATCAAACAAGGGGACACAGATTGCACAGGCATATGGAGAAGATCAAGATAGACAGATGCTACTAATATTACTTGCATATACATATATTCCTTCTTCTAGCTAGTGAGGAGGGAGGGGGGCCAAAAGAACAGCATTGAGGAGGCACTGCTAATGCTAAATACTGTCCCAATTGACATATTTTGCCAAAACAACAAATCGGCAGACCCGAGCTAGGGGCCGCCTTTGGCTAAATCTTTTCGGTTAGTGGATGTTACTTTCCCCTGGCTGAGAAAAACAAACTTCCTCCAGGATCATATTCGGCTTCGGCACGAGAAGAAGGTATCGTCGTCCGCCGGTTAGAAGCTTGGGTAAGAATAGGGCCAGAGCCGAGAGATCAGGATGAGGTGATCCTGGTCTCGAGGTCAGGCGCGAAGCTGTGCGGCATCTGATCGTCCCAAACCAAGCCGACCTCGTACTCGGGAACATACTCCTGAAATTTCCAAAAGGGTACATACAAACTTGGTGTTATGAGAAGGAAATTGCCATGTAGGGCAATGTGTCGAAAATGGAACAGTGCAAGCTGTGAGTTTTTTTTACCTCAAGCTTCAGAACTAGCTCCCTGGCAGTTGGAGCCGAGATGATAATGCGCCGCGCATCCTCCGCTATGAATCCTTCGCTGACAGCCATGTCAATGAAGGATAGAAAAGGATCATAAAACCCGTCGACATTCAGAAGGCCAACCTGGTAAATATTGAGGAGCTGTTAGAGCTAGGAGTAGAGAATGTGCATTTGAGAGCAATAAGGGAAATCCCGCGCGATTAAAAGACGAGCATTCCTCTAAAAACATGGATCCAAGAAGGATCACTATCCTAGTTAATACAGTTACACGACACCATATGAATTTTGTGGGGGCCATCAGCAAAGCTGATTGCTAGGCATGATGAATGAGGTTTAATGCACTGCTCAGATCCATTGGGTCATTAATTTAGCATAGATGCAAACGATAAGTTCCTTTTTGAATTAAAAAAAATGACAGGTACAAGATCCTGCGAACATCATTCTATTAGATGAGTTGGAACATTCATAAAAGTATAAAGCATATATCATATTAACAGGAAGCATAAACAATAGAGGGTGCAGATCTCGTGATCCCCAAGCTATCGCCTAATGTACTGTAAGATCTGCAGATCATAGAGGGCTTAAACTATTGGTCAATAATTCGGTTTCTAGATGGCAAAACCTTCAGCCAACCACATGGGAGCACCACGAAGCCATAATCAAGGGCAAGATGTTAGCACAAGATCTCAATGGATCCAACGACTTTGCGATTATTAATTTGCCTCAATTGCAACCAGAGACAAGAAAGGAATTCGGGATCATGCACGCACAACCACATGGCCTCCAAATTATCGCGCAATAATGCCATTCGTTTTCTTCGTGAATCTTACTAGTACAAGATATACAGAGGAATCAGAACCAGTTGGTTACTTACCGGCTTCTTGTGGATTCCTAGTTGGGCCCAGGTGATGACCTCAAGCAACTCCTCAAGAGTCCCGTAGCCGCCTGTCGCGCAAATTAAGAGTGTCAAATTTTGCATCCTTAGGATGCAGCATCAAAAAAAATTCACTGCAAACGACGTCGTAGTAGCAACTAAATTATCATACCAGGCAGTGCAATGAACGCATCAGCAAACCGGGCCATTTCAGCCTTCCTCTCGTGCATGCCAGAGACCGCTCTAACTTCACCAACAGGCTCACCAGTGACCTGCAAACGAAAAACCAGTATATATTGAGGATCCGGCACACATCACACTTGTTTCTCTTTCAGAATCATGTTAATAAGCTCATCATCCTAGTAGAAAAATATTTAAAAACCTTTTTTAGTGAAACTAGCAATGCAAAAGTCCATAGAAATACATGGCTGACAACATTCGGATGCAAACTACGGCACACAGAGTTGTTCAGCGTGAGATCATCATCGACATTAGAATACACAGGAAATACAAGTTCTACGTACGTAATGCAGTGGTCAAAGACCACGACAATCAAGAAAGTCCCATTTTTAAGACATTGTACTACCGAATGAGTACTAGTACAAGTAGAGATACGTACAAGAAGAGTAAATAATCCCAGTTACTGCACTTACTACTACGTGCAAGCCCCAGTAAATTATCCGAAGGCAAGGCAAATGCGATGGCACATCCTAGACAGCTACTATAGCTCAAAATCCATTTAAGAGCAGCACGCAATGCTGTTGGATAGGCGCATTAGATTCATGTGATGAGCATAAATGCATCATGTCCCCCCAATAAGCACTAGCAGCATGCCAACTTGGTTCTTTATTGCAACTCCTATTTTTCAGCTGCGCACAGCAGCAGCAGCAGCAGCAGAAGCCAGCAGGGAGAGGAATTGAAAGCATTCATCAATTTCGCCCCGAACAAAATGGAGCAGCACGGCCACATTAAAAACAGCAATCAAGATTATATCTATCTCTATCGATCGAGCTTGTGTAATAGCAGTAGTACTACTCCTACTAGCTTCCAGGAGTAGACAGCTCACCTCTCTGGGCATCAAGGATTTCGGGATGACCCTGCCAAGAACACAAAGAGAGAGGAAACAGAAAAGCACATCAGTTTTTAGCACAAAAGCGGTCAAACAGGTGTAGTAAGAACAAGCAGGCTTGCTTTCTCTCCCTTGGTAAAGAGACTGGCAAAGCCAAGGCCCAGGCTATTGCACAGGCAGCACAGCTACACCACACTAGCAATACAGATAGATAGAGAGAGAGAGGGAGCTGGACCAAATAAACACTGCACAATAATGAGAGCAAAGAAGAGAAGAGCACTAGTACTAGCAAGCTAGCAGCAGCAGCAGCAGCAGCAGATTGCAGGAGCTGAGCTATGCAGGAGCAGGCCAAGTGAAGTTGGAGTGTGCTGCTGCACAAACAACAATTCAAGCATGCAGGCGAGTAGCCTTTCGGAAACGGAGGCGAAAAGGCCCCAGATGCATTCAAAATGCCCCCCCCCCCCCCACACTGAGACCCAAGAAAGAGAGACGAAAATGGGCAGGGACTCAGCACCTACTACTCCTCCTACCCCCAATCTGGCGATCAAAAGCTGCCGTTTTTATCATCCCAGCGACGCATGCATTCTCACACATCTCACCTGGCAAGCAACCAGAGAAAGATAGAGAGAGAGAGAGATGGACAAATGGATCACTCACCCAATGACATGGCGACCACCGTCGTGAACAGCGTGGGAGACGAGGCCCATGAGGCCGATGGAGCCACCGCCGTAGACCAGGTCTATGCCCCTCTCGACCTGCACCAACACGAACCAAAAACAAAAGGGGAAATGTAAAAAAACAAGAAACCAATCAACCTCTCTCTACTCTCTTGAGTCGACAAGAAAAATCCAAAAGGTGGGGGAGAGAGGGAGGAGATGGTGGTGGCGTTTTGATGCATGCAAAAATTGTAAGATTGTTGTTCCGTTCGGGACGCAACTGAGGTCACCGCGCTCGCCAGCAATCATGATTGGTTTTGTTTGCTCATCTAGAAAACCTACTACTATAGCTGCCTAGGATACTAGGGACGCGCACCAAGAGAGAAACGGCCACGGCGAGCCGGAGAGTCGGTCGCCGCCGCCGCCGCCGGCGAGCCGGCCGGCGAAGCCCGGAGGGGGAAGAAAGAAAGAAAAGTAGAAAATGAAAAGATTGGATTTTTATGACGGATTTGGGAGGGAGGGAGGGAGAAAGGACAATCAATCAAATCAAAAAAGAAGAAGAAGAAGAAGAAGAAGAAGAAGAAGAAGAAGAAGAAGAATCCTGACCAGTTCCTTGCCGAGCTCGACGGCGGCGTCCTGGTAGCTGGCCTTCCTCCCCTTGGCGCTGCCGCAGTACACGCAGATCCGCCTGAACCGCGACCGCCTCTCCCCTGCACCACCGCCACCGCTCTCCGGCGCCGCCGTCGCCGCCGCCCCTGCTCCGGCGCTCCTCTCCGCCGCAGCCTCCATTGCCATCGGCACCAGCCTCGCCCTCAGGTAGGTAGAGCGCGCGTGCGTGAGCGAGGCAGCGATTGGAGGAGAGAGATGGAGAGAGAGGAAATTGAATTGGAGGGGGAGGCTTTTGCTTGAGTTGAGGCGGATGAGGTGGGGGGAAGCGGGGGGTATTTATAGGAGATGGACAAGGAGAGGAGTGGGTCCAGCATTGTTGGGGGAGGGATGTGTGTTGTGTGTGTAGGGGTAGTATTGGTACCACGGGACGGGAGTCCGGAGGGGAAAAGATTGAGTTTTTTTTTCTTTTTGTGTTTGTGTGTGTTAGTAGCATTTTTGTTTTCTTTTCCTCTCGCGCTTGTGCGAAAATTGCTTGCCACCCGTCGACCTCCCTCTCACTCACCCAAACGTTATCTGAAAACGATCAGGTTTTTCCATCACACATCACACGTTTGGGAATAGGGGTGAAAACGGATATTTTTTAAAAAAACGGGTGCGGATGCGGAGCGTGTTTCGAATATCGGAAATGGGTGCGGAGCGGTGCGGACTTGGTTCGGAAAAGGATTAAAATTATTGGATGTTATGTATATATACAAGGGACGATATTGATTTAGCAATACAGGGGACAACAATAACGACTCATAAGAATAATCCATTGCTAATAACATGAATAAATAATATCCATTATATGAAAACGCAACTACGTAAGTATGAGATAAGACGATAAAATCCTCGAACAAAGGAGTTTACAGCTTGTTTGGTAACTTGAGGAAGGGGATTAGAAGTTTAGATGAGGGAATTGATAGTGAGATTAAGATGGGAATTTGATTTTTAATCCCAATATCTTGTTTAGTACACATGGTACAAATTGATAGGGAGTTTAGTTGGAGATTAGGTCATTAATGAAAACAGATGGTTGAGAATTGTTTAGGCAAAGTAAAGGAGGAATTCATTCTCAATTACCACCCAGTACCCAGGTATTCCTCAATTCCCCATCCACATCCCACCAAAATTCACATGTCTTCCAACCAAATAAAACAGTTAACAGCTTCATCCCTCTAAATTCCCAATGCCTCCTAAACACTCCCCCAACCAAACAGACCATTAGGTTAATTGATAATATAGGTCATTAAAATGGGTCGACTCATGTTATATGCAATAGATAGAGTGATTATATGGGTTGATAATTTCAGATTATCTAGATAATCCAATAGAAATATCATATAATCCATATCCGCCAGATTTTATAGATACCACATCCAAATCTGAATCCACACCATACCATTCGCATTCGCATTCGCATTCATATCAGCCGGATTTCTAAAAACCCATACCTTATCCTCGTTTTGAACGGATTCAGAGCAAATTGGATCGATATAATCTAATCCGTTTTCACCCTTATTTGGGAAAAACCTAATTCTCCGAAAAGGATGGACCCAGACTTTGAGCACCCTAGACTGTGGCACGAGGCATAATAAGGTTAAAAGTCCATATGCTGAAATTTATTTTCACTATGATGTGTCGAGATGATAGCAAGGTTCACGTTATCGTGCGGTTATTGCGCTTACTGCCGGGGAGGGGGTCGGTTACCGGTGGTTAGGGTTTGAGAAATTTTGAGCAAATTCAAATTTTTGGAAAAAAATAAAAAAAATCATGGATGTAGTTCTTGATTTTTAATGGTAGATGGTGAAGAAAATTTTTGAAAAAGAGTAAGATAATATCAAATATGAGGGCAAAACCGATAATTGTTTAGGAAATAGAAAAAAGAAAAAATGTATTGGGCTTCATTTTTGTATTTTACATCCACAAGCTAGATTTGAAGTGTCCTATATATCCTTCCCCAATTTCTACACACATTTAAGTGATTTTTCTTTTTTTTAGCTTCTTTTCATTTTTTTTTCATGCTTTCTGCAAATATCGCGTTTAGCGTGCAAATATCGCGTTACCGCGTCAAACCATGCGATGACCGCGACAAACCGCATGGTAACCGTGAAACCGCCAAAATTTTTAATTCAAATTTTTTAAGACGAAATTCACATGGTTTTCGGCGGTTACCAATTACCGCAGGGAGACGATAACCTCCTGTAAAACGGTAAGGTAAACCCTGGATATAAAAAAACATAGAAACAAGAAATCGAAGCAATTCCCTTATTACAAAGGAAAACCGAAGGATTTGATTGCCATGTCAACTACAACCCTACAGAAAATATATGAATTTGTCAACTAGGTATTTTGGAACTTTGGATACTCCACGGGAAATCGACAGGAATTTTATAGAAAAAATAAGAATAGGTTTGAGGAGAGATTAAAAAAGAGTTGCATTAGACTTTTCAAAGAAAATAAAAACCAATATGTTTGAGATCATGTTTTAAATCTTCCAAAAAGTGAAGGGAATATAGTATTTCTATGGAAATTTTCCCTCCAGATCTTTCTATTTCACAAAATTACAAGTTTAAGAACTTGTTTCACAAAACTATAGATTTATTGTCTTCGTTTATCACAAAAATGCAGGTACTTTGCACAATATATCACAAAACTACATATTCAAGAACCTTGTTTCATAAAACTACAGATTTAATATCTTCATTTATCATAAAACTACATGCTTAGTGTCTTTATTATCACAAAACTATATGCTTTAGCATTTGTTAAAACCTGTAGTTTTGTGGTAAATGAAAACACTAAATGTGTAGTTATGTGATAACCGAATACACTACATGTGTAGTTCTGTGATAAATGAATACACTAAATTTGTAGTTCTGTGATAAACGAATACGCTAAATCTATAGTTTTATGGAATAAGTTCTTAAATATGTAGTTTTGTGATAGATTGTACTAAGTACCTATGGTTTTGGGATAAACAGAGGCACTAAATTTGTAGTTTTATGAAACAAGCTCTTAAATCTGTAGTTTTGTGATAAATTATGCAAAATACCTGTAGTTATGTGAAATTTGCTCAAAAAAAATTATTAGAGGGTTTCAGTCTTACAGGTTTTCTAAGAAAATTTCCTTGTTCCAAATAATCCCTAAGTGAGTTTCTTCTTGTTTATGGCACAAGTGTCGTGCTTTTCCTTGATCTCACGAGCGTATCGTGGCTCTAGCTCCTTTGGAACGTCTAGTAATTTTACAATACTTTTCGCATAACTAGTTTTGTTTTGTAGAAAATCTTATGGAATTATCATTGTAGAATCTATAATCTACTAACATGAGTGCTTAGCCTAAACATGATCACCCTAGTACGGAAATTTTAGGGTTACTGGCCGTTGTTTGAAGCCGTTGATGCGATTCTCATTGTTCCTTCTGCAATACCATCAACCGGAGTGGAAGTAGAGGATGAAGTCCCTCGAACTGCTCCGGTAATCGTCGGCATATGGGAAATAATCGTAGCAGTGAGAACACCGGCTTGATCCCGAAGGGGTTGTCGTCGATCACTTGCGGGGTAGCGGCGGCCTTCCGGTCGCCACCTACACTGGCCCGGAACCGCCACACGTTTTCCCTCCATCGCCTATGTTGATCGGGTTTAGGGTTTGGCTGTCAGGGAGATTGAGACCAAGAGAGATCGCCATCCGCTCTTGGGCCGGCCTCCCCTTTTATATTTAACACTGCAGGGAATCGGGGGCGACTCAAAAGGAAATAAATTGGGCGCCACCGATCATAACGCGTAGTTAATCGGGAATTAAAACAAATTAGATCGCTGTGATTTCGCGTAGACAACGGGTGGAAAAACGGTGTAGCACGATCTCCTCCCGGTTTTTCAAACCGAGATATCAATTTTTTCAACACTCATTCGATCGTCTTCCTGGATACCCTTCGACAAGGGTAAGGCTGTTGATGTCAACAATAAGGCTGACCAAGACATTCACATCGTACACCTTGCCACCATGGCCACATGTTTCTGAGCTTGTAAGTCATAGTAGGATAATGGCAAATCGCTTATCGTGTTACACGCATGGGATGATGGCAAAATTTTCGATTATTTATGAACTATTTAGAGTTCAATATTGGAAGTACGTTTCCTCAATTGATATACTCCATATAGTAATTTCCAACCAGTTACTCCCACGCTTAGGGCATCTAAAATAGATGCAAAAGTAGTCCATATGTAATATAATATTCTATTCAGTCACCTTGTATTGTTGTGCAAGTAGTCCTCATAAATAAATTATCAAAAGGTACCCATATACATATGGATTACTTATATGGGATAAATTATACTATTATCTATCTCTATTTATGTCTCTTTTCCTAATGTTATCATGTATATATACATTGTGAAGATTGCTATAGTTAAAATCTATTTATGTAGATCCTATTTATATGGACCACTTTTGTCATGTATATTGGTGAATGGTGATGCCCTTATATTCAGAGCAATAAACAACTTGAATTCAATATGCTTTCTTTTTTTAATAAAAAATGAAATCATTTTTGGTCCGTCTTAATTTCATCCTTGGGCTTATACTCAGACCCAGTTTCCCTTCCATCAATTCATTTCATATCAAAATTGAAAAAACACATACTCTTACTGGAGTTTAGTACATTTACGCACGTAAAAACTTCATCAATCTTAAGATATTACTTATGAGTTTTTAAAGTGCCCATAAGAGTACACATTTATAGAAGTGAGTGTGTCCGCGTGTTTCCGAGTGGTTGCATCCATACCGTGTTCCAAGAAAATAATTTGATGCACGTGTACAGTGATGTGTATGTGCGTCTGTGTCCCGCTATGTAATAAAAATAAAGGACTACACATTTAACATTTGATATAAAATCCCTTCTAAAATCTGTTAAATGTAATTCTTTCTCATTTCCTCCTAATCGATTCCGGAGTATGCTAAGCTCCTCCTTGATAGTCCAAACCAAATCTGTCATTTGGAGAAAAATTAACTGGAAAAAAAAAAGAGATGGAACAGGGGGAATGAAGACCACACACGGTTCGTTCGCCCTCCCTCCTCGGGCAAATCATCTTATCCCAGTCAAACGGGTGATCGAAATTTATTGCCGTCGTGAGTGCGAATCGCATTTGCATTGCATCTACATCGCGTTCTCTTCTCAGCCACGTCGTGTTGCTGTTGCTGGGTGACGACGCCGGAATGCCGAATTAATGGCGAGATATTAGTAGGGCTGTGGCTGGGGATTTGCA